CCCCGTGTCCTACTTACTTGACCTTTTTGCACTAAATTTGACCCAGGTTTGACCTAGGGCGCGGGAAAATTTGAAAATCCAAAAATGGCCATTTTGTTTTAAAAACAGCTCATACCTGTCCACCCCTATAAATCAAAATGGACTCTTCCAGGGTTATAATGGACTATTCCAGTTTTTGGTTTTAAACGGCTCGTCAGAAAATCCTTCCTGCACTACCCTTAAAACCCTAATGGACTCTTCCAAAACAACTTGGACTCTTCCACTTTTTGGAAATGAGATCTTAACTCCATTTTCTTCCTATCCACCCTATAAAATTACAATGGACTCTTCCACCCCTTAAAAATTGAAATGGACTCTACTCTAAAGCCCCTACTACACTGCAATTATATTTACTGGTGGAAAAGCCATTTATTGGTGATTCTAAAGCCCCTACTACACCGCAATTATATTTACTGGTGTAAAAATCCATTTATTGATGATTCTAAGGCCCCTACTACACTGCAATTATATTTACTGATGTAAAAATCCATTTATTGGTGATTCTAAAGCCCCTACTACACTGCAATTATATTTACTGATGTAAAAATCCATTTACTGGTGATTTAGGGATGTGTTTAGCCCACAGAAGACAGTTCTGTTTATAATGGCTATTTGTGTTGTCGCGTAATCATTCAATAAAAGCTGCTTCAATTTGTATACGTTTAAGTATTAGGATAGCCTTTAAATGGATGTTTCGGTAGGGAAATGCATTTCCTGTACAAATAGACAATTATTGTACATGTACCTGCAAACAGCAAATGGTCACCATACAAAGGGGGTGGTGATTAAGAAAAATCATTTAGTTCAATGTAATTATTTTATTTTAAATAAAAAAAAATATCATACATATTAAAACATAAATCATCCAAGTGTGACAGGCTCATCACTACAGAACTAACATACAATCGAGCAACAATCACTTTCCGATTTCAAACAGGGAACATCATGCCACTCAATAGGTCATTCTTTATCAGGTAAAGCCAACTCTTGGAAGCACTGGCCCAAAGACCATATTCTTACCTTGAAGATTATTTGAACCCACAGCACCAAATCGCCTTGTAGACGACCATCCAACTCATTACCGATTCTACAACTTACTCAAGGAATATCATGTTATTTTTCACAGTATAATTTCTAGACATTAGAATTGCTGTAGAATGTTTATCCTCCAGTCAACACGCATGACAGCACATGATAAACTTGCCAAGGTAGTTCTGCAACTTGCAAAACGTTAAAAGTGAAACATTTCTCCGTGTATTTGCTTTTACAGCCAAAAATTCAGAAGTTTCTGAAAAAATCTGCTCCATGTCGGCCATGTTTGTTTACATCCTGTAGTCTCGAACTAAAAGACGTAATGGGCTATAGACATTTGAGTCTGGTTAAACAAAATATGTCACGTGTTTCCGGTCGTAGACTTGATTGTCCAATAAAGTGCAAAATTGTATATGTCACGTGTTTCCGGTCATAGACTTGATTGTCCAATAAAGTACAGAATTGTTCTTGTACTTTAGTCTCGAATATCAAACAAAACAAAATAGAGTAATAAAAACAAAATGGCGGACTTTTGTCAAAAGTTTCAACTGTACGTCAGTTTAAAGAGGATAAAACTAAATCAAGCCACTGTCATGGCAATTTGAGGATTTGATTACATTCATGCTCGATTCCACGAGGTCTTCACGTACTTTTGAACGGTTTTTGTGTCTTTTTTCAGCCTAAACATCCAGGTCAAAGTTGCGAGGAGATGGAAGTGCCAAACAAAACGTAAACAAACATGGCGGCTTTATTGTTTACATTCATTTAAATGTAAAAATACGTGAATTAAAGTTATTTCTTAATCAAATTTTGTGTTGATTTTCAAGAGAATATGTTAAAGTGTGTGTCCATTGCTTCAGTAAGGGATGTCAGTGCATTGGGAGTGCTAAATAAGACTAAACATGAGGTTCTACACCAGTGGCAATCCAACTAATAGTAGTGATAGTAAAGTTTCAAGCCCAAGGGATGCTGTTGATGAATGTTCTTAAAAAACCAGAGGCATATCTTGAAAATGCCTAGGGAGGGAGCCAAAAATTAAGAGGTATCTATCCAAGGCGAGGTGCGTAGGCCAAAGCCCCTTGAGGCCACGGGTCTGGGTGCTGCCGGAGGTCCCAAGGAACCTATGGATTTCAAATAGGCTTAGATGAATTAGGCGCATTAAGAGGGCTGCATTTTCACTTCAAAATAGAACCCATCACAGGTCAGAGGGTAAAGATTCAAATTGGGTGTGAATTGCGTTCATTTGTGTTGTTTCCATGTTTGGTATGCACAAAAGCAATAACTGCACTAGCCGCTGTGGATTTGGACTGACAAATAACACATTAAACGATATAAAACAATGGAATATTCTAATAGAATTTATTCATATTGAAGACTGTACAATAGATAAACACATAAAACAAAGAATAAACAGAATTTAGGTGACTTTATCTAGAAAGTTGTAATACAAAATCATACAAATAATTTGATTGATTAGACAGAAATATTGTAGATTTAAAATAATCATACCAAGACACAATAACTGAATAAAAAACAACTTATAATATTGTTTCATTAATTCCTAGCTCTGTATTTTAATAACAAAGAGTGAAATTACCCACAGAAAATACAGAGATAAATATACATAGAGTTGTATCTTAATCAGAATGAGTGATGAAGTATCCCAAAGAAAATAAAGGAAACAAAATATTATTAATCCTTAAGGCAGCATTTAAATAAACTAAAAAAGATTTATGTAAAATTTTAAAGGTTTATCTTAAAGCACCAATAAATCAATAGAGAGGTTACAAAACTGTCAGTCCAAATCACAGAATTAGATTCAAAATACATCAACATACAATAGATAAATACAGAAAAAATAATTTGAAATTACAATTTTAACAACTAACACTATACACATAACATCTTGGTATTATAAATAGAATTTACAAGATACAATATTAATATACAAGATTTTAACAATTAAAACTATAAACATGACAGTATATCTTGGTGTATTATAAATAGAATTTACAAGATACCATATTAATATACAAGATTTTAATATTCAAAAGCATCTATCATCATAAACAAAGATTAATTTTTTGTTTGGTCTTACAATTAAAATATGTATAACATAATTAATATCAATATCAATTATAAAATGGAGAAATCCTTCAGTCCAGCAGCCAACCTGTAAATAGAAAACAATTCATAATATTAATTGAGGATCATTAGAAATATATCTGTTACAAACATTCATACCAGTCTTAAGATGACATTGTATTACAAATAATCCCATTATCATTATCAAATTGACCTAATCTGCATAAGGTACACGTACAATTAATTAAAATTTAAAATCATGTGTCCCCTTTACAAAGGTGAAATTTGAATTCGCAGGTTTGGATGTAAACTAATAGTACATCGTGTTTATTGCAGTTTTCCATGGTCATGATGTCACAAGTGTGCATTATTGATGGAACTATTTGAGTACATGGGTTTTCTATGAAGTCAACTTTCTCCAATGTTTGTTAGTTTCCGGGACCAATGTGGGTATACCTGCCTTGTGTATGGTTTTTTTTGTTGACACACAAGATAATATATTCGTATAACCTAATGACTAAATTAAGAACATACCTGATAAGCCCACTATGTAGGTATCTATGACGTGTTTTAAGATATGATGATAATCAACTTTTCTCTTTTAATTTGTCTGGTTTTCTGTTTTCTATCTTACACATGACCAGGCATGACATCTGAAATACAACAATTTATTGTTAAAAAAAATGAACAGCCCAAACTCTCTATTGACAAGTTAGATTCTCTATCATCAGTTCCAATAAGCCAGTTAGGAACTATCCCTAGACATGTGCAACACGTTTCTTCTCTACTTCCCCCTCGAGATAAACAACATCAATTTACTATGGACAGTAATGGAAAAAGGTATCATATAAAGGGTTTACTACATTGACAGTTGACAGACTGGTGATATACTCTGTGAACTGAGCAAACTTGATCTGACAACTTGATAACTGTCAATGAAGTAAACCCTTTCTGTTATATCCTTTTCCATCACTGACCATAGACTGCCATAATAAAATAAACCTTTTTTATCCCCAGATACTTGAGATGGACAATTTGCTTTGAACAAAGCTCTTTTATAATTAAACTTACTAACCATTAACTTGGCATGTACAGTGCTTCTGTCATTGAATCAGGCATTCTAGAACTTTTAACCATGGACCTGCTGATGTACCAGTTATCTGAAGGTCTTCTGAAACTTGTCATTCAATATCAGTGCATATCTGTAAGCAAATTAAGTATTGTTTTAAATTGAAAGTAGAGCATAATTTGTAAACAAACCTGGATAACAAAACCTATCCAACTCTTGTGCGGACCAGTTTAGGACAAGTAAATAAAGACTACCACATGCTTCGTTAATTTCATGTTTTCCATGAAATTCTGGGCAAAATAATGGATGGCAACCAACCAGTTTGAAAGAAAATGTCATCTTCTAAACAAATATTAAAATATTCTAGCTAAAAATCATTAAATACCATTGTTTTCTTCCATTTTTAACATTTAATTGTTATTTCATGGGCGCCGCCATTTTCTTTTAGGCTTTCTCGCATTTTGATTGGATGAGCCATAGGGATTGACTAAACATCTAAATACAACCAAAATGATAAAGTCAACCAGAATCTAGGAGGCAATTAAGCGTCTACTCTTCCAAATGACCCTATGGACAGTAAGTTTACGAGAGGATTGACTCAGTTGACAGCAAGTCTGCCTACTCCAGTCGACGAGTATCAAAATAGCTATCAGAGACTAGAATATAGTCAGATGTAGTGGACTAGCCATTCAGATAACTTTAATAGCAACCGAAGCAGACGCCTGATATCAGATGTCCATTTTAAAAAGTGATACAGACATAAAAGAATAAAACTATTGACATAAATAATTTTTATTTACATACAAAAAGTATAGAATTTATAATCTAAATAAAAAGAAACAAATTTTTGCATGAGGATGTGGGTGGGGAAGTAGTTTTTAGAGTGCACCCCTACCATGGAAGTTTGAGGCTCCCACGACTGTGGTTTTATGATACCTCTTCTACAAAAAGTTGGGATTTCTAAGTATGAGGGTTTAGTATCACAGATATGCTTGTATTTCGATGAAAAACTGGAAAAAAGATTGGAAAAAAGATTGAGAAAAAGGCTATTTTATTCTACGAAAATCGAAATAATTCAAGACCTAGATTTCCATCCATTCTTTGCATGAATTCCGCCTATTTTCTTGTCCAAATTCCACCCTGTCTTAACGAATGATCGACATATGCATCATTATAAAGTTATAAATATATGTCTTCAATAGTTATCAATCCACCTTTGGTACTATAACCGCCGAGCTAAGCGAAGGATTATGATGAGATTCAGAACAAGAATGAATTGTGACAGGCTTTCTGGGCTCATTTAACCTCTAAATGTGACAGACTTGCGGGCATTTTTGTTATAGTTAACTGGTTTGGCATCTTTGGGAGGAGATGGTTGTTTGGAGTTTTGCTGCTTGGCGTTTTGTTGCTTTGAGTTCTGCTTGCCGTCGTATCTCCCCGGATCCGGACCGCCGGACGCTGGGTACGATTTAAACATGCGACCAGACGTATTCGAATGCGTTATAGATTTGTTTCTAAATTGGGAAGGTAGTGGCCGAGCGTTGCCTTTCGGAGTTCCGGTTGATGTAGCTGCCTTCCTCATGCTGCCTCGTCGAGACCCTGCTGACCTTTCTAAGGCAGAAGACTCTACCTCCACGGATCTGGACCGTCTGGTGTGGTTGACACTAGCGTTACGATATTCTCTGCTACGTGGATCTTGTTCGTATCTGCCCAATGCAAGTCGTTTGGCGTCTGATTTCAGAGACTGGTTCTCCGATTGGAATCGCACCTTCTCTTCATACAATCGCCGCTTCTGCTCCTTCAGGTTTTGATTTTCGGCCTCCAATCTCTGGTTTCTGACCAGGACGATTCGTTTCTCATTTTCTTGGCGCCGAACCTCAGTTTGCAGACGACTCTTCTCGTCGAGCAGACGTTTCTTGTCGCCCCTTAGTCTGGCTGAGTCGCCGGCAGACGATCGTCTGGACTCGTTCCTGAGTTTCATGTTGGAATTGGTCAGCCTCTGAACGTCTCTGGATAATTTGCCGTTGATTTCTTCCAGACGTTTGTTTCTGGTCTGATGAAACATGGCCTCGTCTTCTCGCTTCTCTTGCTGGTTCAATATCCTCAAATGGTCTTCTTCGATACGTCTGCGTTCGTTCGTCAAATTGCGCTTGTCGATGTTCAAGTCATGACAACTCGATTCGAGTGTCAATACCTCTTCTCGAAGTTTCCTGTTCTCGAACTCCAAATTGTTGTTCTGGCTTTCCAGTTCCGATAGCGTCTGCCCCTTCTCGTTCTTCTCTCGTAAAATCTCGTCTCGTTCCAGTCGGTACTGTTCCTGTTGCTCTTCTAAAATGTCGATCTGGGTCTTGACCTCATCTATCTTCTGGTAGAGTAGCACCGGAAGTGAGCGGGGGGAGGCCGAGATGGTGTCCACTTCCATTGACTGGTAGCAGTTTTCAATGGCTTGTAATTCATTCAACATCTGTTCCATGCGATCAGCCAGAACTTGGTTTTCTGCTTTTGACAGATCCGTTTTAACTCTGGGACCATGCAGTAACGGATCGATCCGTTCGTTGACGAGGTTTCGAAGTCGGTGGTTCAGTTCGTTGAGATTAGCCGCTGCCTCGTGATCCGGTATGTCAACTCTCAACGTTCGATCTCGCAATTCATCTTCGATGACGTCACTCACGCTATCAATTACTATATCTCGTTGTCTATCAGAGATTCTCGTCTGCATTAAGGCAACTGTTACCTTTCTTTTGATTCCTGAAACGAAAAGAACAAAAGATATGAGTTGAAGAGTTGTAGGTATATATAACTAAAGGTAGTCACCAATCTCTCATACAGAGTTGTCGTTCCTTTCAGTCCCTTTCCATCTCTGTGAACGTCTTACACTAGCTAACAATAATAGAACCCTACCCCTAAATATACTTGACCATACCTTTCCCAGCTCTCGTTAGCCTGTCTTCCTCTTCGTGAACACCCTGTTCGATTCTGAACGCCAACCATCTGTAGTCGGGTTTCAATGCCATAACAAGGGTATCGAACGCATTATCGTCTTTCATTGGCAGGATTTCTAACATCATCCTCGTTTTCTTCTTGTTTCCGCCAGCACCCTGTAATGTATGATAAAAGGAAAGAGTCACTATAAAATGTCAGTCAGAGAGGAAAGGGTGGTCTCATAAGAATGATTTGATTGGTCAATAGCCTAATAGATGTGTTCATAGCACTACATTATTTACTTCAGCAGATCTGGAAAGCAATGCAATGGGAGGTAGAAGCATGCGCATTATACAGATAGCGTATTATATTCGCAATTATACTGTATGTAAATAATGATTCACATTGCTTAATAACGTGAGTGATGAAGTGGTGGGGAAGGGGGCGGTACTACTATACGAGGAGGGGTGGTGGGGTGGAGAAAGGGGCTATTTGGGCGGCCTCTCACCTGAATTGAGAGTTTTTCATCTTCTGTAAAGATCGGTTCCATTTGGTACCATATTTTATCGAAGACTACACTGTCTTCAATGGCCATGGAATAGTTTAATATTGTAGCCTGGCGTCGCTGATCCATTCTGATGGGTGTTTAATCAACTTCTATACCTTTTTATCTTAAATTTAAAATACGGACGCTCGCTGTGGAAAGAGTGGGTGATTACCACTATCAATTGGGTACACAGAGTGGGCGATTAATGGTATTTATGGTAAGATATCCTATCGGCACCGTCAATAAGGGACACACATTTAGAAGGTCCTCTACCCCTCTTATAATGTTTCTTCGATGCTTAGATAACAACTCTTTAAACAAAGTCTAGGAAACTTTTCACTTTAAAAATACACTTCGAGAACCTTTCTTAAGTTTCCTTTAACACCAACAAATTTTAATACGAAATACACCTGAATTTTAAGTCTATTCTCAAAGACAATCCACAAATTTCCATCTTACCATTCAAAACATATCAAGAATCTCCTTTCCTAAGTGTTTATGGAAACCGATATACGCAAAAAATCGTGTATTTCGTTATAATTTCAATTAAATTTGAAGAACAAAGTTCTAGTTTTGGTGTTATTTATCCATCATTGCCATAATTCATCAATTCCACACCATTCTGTTGATACATTTTCGAAAATTTCGCATTTTTACCCACGATTTTATTCTCGTTCGTCCATATTTTTGTCGCGTTGATCAAATGGTTGTTAAGGGTAACATAGAAACGAATTTGGTCATTTCCGAAAGTCTAAAACTGTCCCCAAGATCGTCGAAAAACCTTTAAAACACAATATTAGTCTCAATTTTAGTCAAAATTCACCAAAATTACAACATAAACATCCAAAAATTAAAAGATATATTTAAAATTTGTCTAATATGCTAAGCGTTTGTTTCTAAGGGCGATGAAAGGGCCTACAAAAGAAAGGTAAAAAATGAATAAAACGTTGAACAATGGGATATTTGTAAAGACCAAGTGGTACATTCACACTTGAAAGGGGTAAACTACTGAATAGATTTGTCTGTAAACGATCGTACATTATTAAAGAGGCAATACTCGTTAAATGTTCTGACAATAGTCGGTCATCTGCTGGGCGATCATGTGCCGTGAGTTCGAATCCTTATTCATGATAAGAAACAGGGTGATCCGGCTTGCCACTTGCGTCCTCGAATTTGTTATAATTTTACAAAGATAAATAATTGACTCTGCGAGAAACAAATTTTAGCCCCCCACCCTCTAATGATTCATCTAAACTAGTACCATACACACAGCTCACCGTTTGCTTAGTGAACATAATCGCGGATGGCCTCGAGCACAGTTGTTCCTCAAATAGGGGAAGTGTCCCTTTAAAACAGTGCCGTATTATAAAGAGCTATACTGTTAAATGAGTGTACATTGTTACTGTGTGTTAAATCTCGCCTTGTAAACCATTCCTTTTCAATATACTAGGCTATAGCTTGAATACCGTTGGGTTTATTTTAAGTCGGGGTTTCTTGTTAGGCCAAATAATAACAACACGGGGTTTAAAATAACAGTTACAATTTTACGTACGAGTGATTCCGATAAATAAACATTAGGCTTCTTAAATGAAAAAATATCTTAAAGTGTTAAGCCTATTTATAAGCAGGAAAAACGAAATAAAAAGAAGCTTTACGTCCAACTTTTCTGCACCTTATCATGATAATGAAGATGGGCAACGCCATGCAGCGTGCAATGAAGGAAATTGTACAAAAAGGCTTCAAAATAACGGTGTAATTGTTATTAATAAAGCATTACCATTAGCATTATAGTATGCAATAAGGGTAACTTTGCCAGGATACAAGCAAAAGCTCACGTTTATCGATAAAGGCCTACTTCGTATATACTTTGCCTTGAAAACTTAGAATTAGATTCATTCATTATCTCTTTAACTTAACAAGAAATGAATTTAGTGATCTGATTTCCATAAGTCGATTTCTCTATTGATATTGTTAATTGTTGGTCAAATATTAGACTACAGGGAGTGGGGGCTTGATTATTTTATTGTACAAAAATACTGAGCCTATATTTTCACAATTTATGGGCGAGAACTCTTGTTTTACTCGTTAAGACTATGACTACAGATATATTATAAATTAATAAAATCAACTGGTATCACAATTTGAAAAAATTAAACGTTTCCTGTTCACAATTAGATAAGCCAATTAAACGAAAGCTAACCAGTGTTAAACGTGTTTTAATCGGTTTAAACATAGGCTACCTTTAATTGCAAAATGGAAATATTTTTCATAGATAAGCTTATTCATTTTATGACAAATTTCTACTAAATTAAAACAAATCGAAATTAATTACTTTCGTTTCTGAAATTTCATGAATACCAGTTTTGTACGAAACAAGGGGGACAACTCTAACAATTTTTGTAAACAAAAAAATAAACACACTTGTCATTCCATGGAAAATCGATAAAATCACAGTAATTGGGTACCAATGAGAGAAATAAATAGGAAGTCCTCGAGGAAATTACAGCTCTAGACTTACTGATATGTTTAAAGCTTCAAATGACCATGATATAGAGGAAAATAGCGATGAAATGCCTGCCTCAAGTCGGAATTTCGTGGGTTCTGGCTTTGGAACAATAAAACTTGTGTCCACGATAGTTTTAGCTCTACTTATTCAGTTTTGGAAACTGTGTACCACGGCTGCTCTAGTTGTCTTTCTAATATTTTGGTTTGAAGGTGGAATAGTGGCTTCTATAACGTTTTTCTTAGCAATATTTGGTAAGTCTAAAGCCTGTCATAAAAGCTTACAGTGAAAATTAAGGACACATTACAAGCACCTCTCTTCTAAGTCACATAATGGCACAATAAGGGGGAAGGGGTGAAACTACAACAGTGCCCACTAGTGAGCTTGTGCCTGTTACCTTTCAACCACCATTATCACTAGGTGCATCCTGGCATCCCTTCCAGAGATTTTACCAAAATTTCCACCCATCTCATGAACTGTTTTTCTGTATTTTTTCAGGTTTATTTTACTATGTACAGGATATGTTATTATACCATCCCAATCAACCGCCCATGTCACGACTATACGTTGAATTACCCTCCACTCTAGGTCTTCCATTTGAAAATCATTTTATACGTACCCAGGATGGTGTCATGATAAATGCTGTATATATACCACGATTACATCCAGGGGCAGCAACTCTTGTATTCTTTCACGGAAACGCAGGCAATATCGGAAACAGGTTAGTACACAGTCAAGTTTTTACTTGTTTGTTTATCAGAAGAGTTTTATAATATTGTTAACAAAGCATTTAACATTTCACCTGCAAACGACTTCAATTTCAATAGCTAAAGACACGCTTATAAGAGACCCGAAGTTAATTTAAAATGGAGTTGTCAGTTTGTAAAGAAATTATTTAGACATTTGCAACCCTCTTCAATCTAATGTCATACCTTTATCTTTGAATATGATTTCAGATTGCTAAATGCATATAGTTTATATAATTCATGTGGTTTTAATATATTAATGGTAGAATATAGAGGCTATGGTAAAAGTCAAGGATCACCATCTGAACAAGGTTAGTATCTTCTATCTTGTCCAATATTGGTCGAATGTTAAAAGTTTTACTATTCTTTAAAGATGTATAACCAGGGGCTTATTGAGATAATGCCTCAGTCTGGGACCAACGATGGGTGGTGACTCTCTGAGGTGATGCATGAAGGTCAGAAGCACCCTAAGGCTGGGATTCTTAGGGCTGCCAGAGGCCCCCATGACCCGATGTCCCTTTTAATTGAATTATAATATTTATTTCAGGTTTTTATCTAGACAGTCAAGCAGCAATGGATTTTCTCATTAAACGACCAGAAATAAATAAATCCAGAATAATAGTGTTTGGACGTTCGTTAGGGGGTGGGGTAGCCGTACAGTTACTAACAGAGCCCTACTATTCACAGTATATATGTGCCTTAATATTAGAAAACACCTTTACTTCTATACAGGCTATTGGTGGTGTAATCTTTAAATTAGACTTTTTAAAATTTGTTCCTCAATTTCTCATTAAAAATAAGGTTGGTATTTATAGCTATTCAAACTAAATACATGTGCAATTTATTTAAACTAGACCCGTTTGACACAGATCTGTCAGCTTCCGAGCTACTTTACATTCTCTGCATTTATGTTCAATGTTTTCAATTTATTTAAAATCAATTCAAGAGGTGTTTATAGTAGGATATAAAAATCCATTTCATATTCTATTTTCAGTTTGCAAACAGTAAAAAGATCTCGTCAATACGTCACCCAACATTATTTATATCCGGGTTAGCTGATAATTTAATTCCACCCAGAATGATGGAAGAGTTATATCAGGTGGGTTGATCAACCCGGGACATATCATCCCAGTTCTGTCAAAAACTAAGCATCTTATGATGCTATTGCAAAGGGCCTGCAGAAATTTTGAAATAAGGCTTACTTTAAACATTACAGAATAATGCCCTTGATCCTAAAATTTAATTCCATGAATGAATGAAATATGATGCAAGATTTCAACACTCTATCTGACAGAGCTACATCCTATTAGTATTTTATTGTAGTTGTCTGGTAGTAGTTATAAAAGAATGGTACCAATCCAGGGTGGTTCTCATAACGACACGTGGATGTGTCCTGGATATTTTGAATCTATAGCAAATTTCGTCCATGAGGTAAGTGTTGATTTTTGAATTTTCGTCTAATTTAAATGGATTGTAAAAGGGTTTATGTGTATCGGGGCAGTTCATGACTTCCATTGCATCATTCCAATTTTCTGTTACTGGTACATTTTGTGTCTTGGCCACATTTCTATACTATTGCCACAGTTCATCATTGTGAATGCTCCAGAGACAACTAATCTATTTTACTTTTAGATCCCTCATTGCACACTGCCCAATATGGACAGATTCATCCTTAACTCATCTACAGTTATATTTTATTAATATTTTGATGTTTTGTAGGTAACAAGTCAGAGTAACAATACAACAGTAAGAAATATGGAAGTGAATTATACAGACTCTACTGTACATAGTGTTTGATCTATGTACAACCCCACCAAAAACTTACAGCTAGAAGACCAAGGGCCAATGAACACAGGCATGCAGTGTGCTATTATTGGAATTTTGCCATGACTGCGGAATTAGCCTACTCTTTTTCGTACTGTTGAGGGATCTTTAATGCGCACAGCCTGTAGTACAATGGGGCCTTGGTTTATTGTCCAAACTGCACAGCTAGACAACCAAGTATAGAAAGAGCTTGATCAGTGCACAAACCACAAATTCTTGACACACTTACCTCTAAATTGAAATTCTGGTAGATTTGATGATGAAATTTGAGAACCATTCTATCTAAACTTGACATTTATTAGGAGCTGGCTCCACCATTTCATAACTAGATATTTAATTTCATAATCTGTTTAAAAAAAAAGCAAGGTCTGTAAAAAAAACATCTGGTATAAGCTATCACAATAATAAATTTGGAGAGTGAAACAGCAAGTAAAAGCTGTCATAGCAGAGCTAACAGATTGCTAGTGGCACTAAAAGCTGTCATATAGATCTAGCTAACAGTGGTTGTGGTAAACTGTCACTTGTGGGATCAAACTGAATCGAGAAAATCTTTCTTTTAAGCAATACAATTTCTTTACCACTTTTGCTGTGATATTTTTAAGCACATGTTGGAAAATCCTTTGATATTTTCTTATAGAAAACCAAGGAAATGCCACTATTTTGGAATATTTTAAATTGGTGCACTAGGGATCATAGATTTATAAACTATTCAGAGATAAGCTATTACTGAGATTGAAAAGAGCTTTTCTAAAATTGTTCTGTGTATCAGGGACTTCTCTGATTCTTGCAATTCCACTTAAATTGGGCATTATGACGTCACTAATGCACAAGGTCCATTAATATCAAGAGAAGCTTTCCAAGTGACGATAGCATCGTCATAAAATACCTAGTTTAAGTAGAATCGCGAGAACCACAGACGTCTGATTGAATATTGGAAGTGTAAATTGATGCTATCAGTGTCCCCTATACATATAAAAAGTTTAGAAAACCTCTTTACAATCCCTTTAAGGAAAGCCACAAATGTTTTCGATTTTGTGCACTTGGAGAATGTATTTAGACACTATCGTATTCAATTTGATGCAAACATGTTATGTTATATAGATTTTTATTGCTATATATAAATTATGAAATAAATAAATTATTATTACTTGTATTACAATGTGATTGTTCTTGTCCATAATTATGGCAGACGTGCCCCCGCCTGACCCACATCCCACCCTTCATTTAGAACCTCTCTTAGCTTCTGATCAGTGAGCTTGTAACCCATTTTCCCACAGTATTGTTGATGGATTAAATACCCAAAATGTGTCAACAATTGGAGAACAACTCTACCAAAAATGCATGCAGTAGCCTTGAGGACAAGTGGTTGGCTTAAGCCTACGTTCATTGTTGATTTGTTTGTTTTTTGCCCAAAACTTGGAATGTACCAATGAAGGATTTTTAAATGAGAGAAATATGGGTCCAAAAGCAAAAGTTTGAACTGCAAATGCAGACAGGAAACTACTAATAGATTGAGTTATTGAATACCCGCCTTAAAGTCAAGGAAAAGATAACTCTGTACTCGATTTAGTTGTTGTCTGATTCCATATTCAAGTCCATGTCTACTCTTTACACGAAAAATATTACCCTCTCTTAAGAAATATTGTATTTTCTACGTTTTCATTGATGATTATTCATTTATTGGATCAAAATCAATAGATATGATTAGAAATAAAACTACTAAATGCTTTTAAAACAAAAATTCGTCATAATCTGCAAAAAAGAACATCCAAATCCGCCATTTGTAAAATCCATCATGGCGTCGGTTGAATAAAGAAATTTTAATGTTATCTATTTTGGTGAATATTTCATGCTTTAGGGGTCATACGAAATTGAAAATCCACAGATATGGAGGGTAAGTGGTGCTTTTCAACTCTGGCCCATTCTTAGTGCAAGTTAGGGCGTAGATTTCTCGAAATTTTGATGTGTACAATTGAGTGGGCGAGCCAACTTCATACGTGTGGGTGGGTGTAGCTCACAGTGACTGACGCTTGACTACTGATGTATTTATTTGCTATTTATTTCAAGTAGATTGCGAGTTTCTGATGGTATTAATTGCATCTTTTATAACCTAGGAGTGTCTTTGAAGCAAAGAAAGTCCAAGTGTAATGCTTAATGTCCAGTGATTAGGTTTATGTTAGGCATTATTTTGTTCCTAAGGCACCAAGCTGAAGCAGCTTATATTATTTGTAAAATGTATAACATTTGATCAACTATAAACAATGAAATTTTGGTAGGTAGCCATTAAATTTATGCTATTGTTTGTTTGTTTTTCAGGTAATGTAGGAGAAGCCAGCTATCATCCTTGTGATGTCTGTGACCAGGTATTCCAAGACTACAATGAATTAGTTCGACACAGCCAAATTCACATAGCACAACAGAGTTACGCCCCTTACGATGTCTACAGACAACAAACATTTAGTCAATCTTCAAATTACAATCAGAACTACCAAAATTATCCACAAAACTTCTCAAAACCTCAGAATTATTCTGATCAGTCAATGTTCTCCAAGACACAGCTATTCCCAGGACCTGGAAATATTTCCTCAGATATAGAAGGAAGTGATCATCTTCATGTTCCTACTATCAAACCTAGTGAAAGTTTGACCATGAGTTATAATGCTGCTCAAGTAGCTCAACAGAGGACAGACGGATCTCAAGAAAGAAGCCTAGTACCAGCAGAAAAACACCTACCTAGTCTAGGAGAAAACACAATTCAAGACCAAACACTCCAGGATCATAAACATGAAGATCTGAGGCAGTCATTTCCGAAATTTGAAGCCATCTCATTCACATCACAAAACCAAATTTCAAAACCTGAGAATAGAATGGAAGGGGAGGGAAGTGTACCTGGGGATAATACAAGGGAGGCAACACAGGAAGATGTGATTAAGAAAATAAAAGAAGAATCCGATTCTGATACAGATGCTGATTACTATGATAAAGATGAAAACCATTCCGAGCCGCGAGTTGTAATCGAACGAGATGACATCGAGAGTAGCGAAATCGGTCAAAAACTGGATGAAGAGATGCCCGTGAAATCTGAAAAGATGGAAGCAGATGTAGAGGGCGCACCAGAAGCCTCAGATGAAGGTTTCGGAGATAGTGATGTGGACAGCGATTTAAAAATCAAGTTTACAGATCCCTCTAAAAGCAAGAGGTACCAAAAGAATCAAAAAGTGTACAAGTGTAATATCTGTCCGAAAACTTACACCCTAAAGAGCAGTGTTACACGTCATATGAAAACCCATGAAGGAGAGTTTATTTGCAGCGTTTGTGGGGACACCTTTGATGATAACAGTAGCTTAGTCAAACACAAGAAATCCCACAATGAAGAATTCTTCTTGTGTCGGTGCTCTAAGAAATTCAAAGACAAATCTGCCATGGTCAAACATCTGAGTGTTTGTGGAGCTGGTGACAGGAATGGTTCTGATGATGGGGAAACAAAGAAGAAAACCTCGAAAAAGTCAGAGAAGAAATTCGAGGAAAGATATTCAGATGACATGAGTGCACCGGAAGAAAGCCCTTCAGAAGATGATTCTATGAAAATGGAGATGGATGACCCTTCTTTTGAAATTCCAGAAATAGTTGGTCTTAAGAAGAAGAAAACTGTAACTCCTAAACCTAAACCTGTTGAAGAAACTAAGACAGCTGAAGGAGAAACATCCAAAAAGGAGACTCAAGATAAATCATTTATTTGTGAAGAATGTGGTAAATTGTTCACCTTGAAAAGCAGTCTGAAGAGACACATGAACAAACATGCATTGGTAGGAAAATGTTACCAGTGTAGTGAATGTGGAAAGACATTTTCCATCAAATGCAGCCTGAGGAGACACTTTCAAAATAAGCATGTTCCGAAACCTCCAAAGGAACCTAAAGCAGAAGATACCTTGGATTTAGAAGGAGGAGAACCATTTTATGATAAAACTCAAAACAATCCCAAATTAGACTTCTGCCTGATTCCCACTACACCTAAAAAAGAGAAACCATTTAAATGTTTCATTTGTGGCAACACATTCGGCCACAGCAGCAGTTTACAGAGACATCTTAAAACTCATGCCGAGCTTGGAGAAGGGTCTGAAGAGAAGGTCATTCAATGTGAAATTTGTAGCGAGACCTTTAACCAGTTTTTTAATCTTCAGAAGCACATCATGGAACATACAGGGGAGAAGCCCTTTAAATGCACATACTGTGAGAAATCCTTTTTTGAAAATGGCCACCTTACACAACATATTCGAACGCATACTGGAGAAAAACCTTATCAATGTGAATTCTGTTCCAAGTCCTTTAGTCAAGGAAGCAGTCTGCGAATTCATATGAAGCTTCACACCACTACAGTAGATGACAGACAATACACCTGTATGATCTGTAGCAAGAATTTCAGCAACTTCGGAAATCTACAGCGTCATATTGTCAAACATTCTGGCCTCAGACCTCATCAGTGTGACATCTGTGACAAGACATTCATGGAGAAGTGCCACTTAGAAAATCATCGGGTACTTCATACTGGTGAAAAAAACCATGTCTGTCAATACTGCAGTAAAGCATTCTCACACTGCGGAAACTTGCGTCAACACATTCGCACGCACACAGGAGAGAAACCACACGTTTGTGAAATCTGTAACAAAGCCTTCGGTGAAAACAGTAAATTAAAGGAACATTTTAAAATTCACACTGGAGAAAAAAACTTTCATTGTGATGTCTGTGATAAGTCTTTTGGACAGAATGGTGGATTGAGACGTCACATGAGACAGCATACCGGAGAGAAACCTTACGAGTGCAATGAATGCGACAAAATCTACGCTCATTCCCACTCTCTAGCTAAACATAAAGCACATTATCATACTAATGTTGAAGTTCTTATTCAGTGAGCACATCAACATTTCAAAATAGCAAATCCTTTAAGTTGCGATGCTTTCTTAGATGTTTATCGAAAGCAAAGTATATCTTTTGTTATTGATCTAAAAATAAAAAAATTATCAGCACACTGAATGCCATTCTGCCACTGGGTTTTTCAACTCAGTGTATAAGATTCTACATGGCATGTAATATCATTATAAAATTGTGTTTTATTATAGTGCAATTTCTTGTTAGTGTTTTAACTATTGTCTTATGTTGTGTTTGTTTGAATCTATTTGATTATGGGTATCTGCAATATATATACTTGCTAGCCATTGTGAAAGTTGCTGAAATTAAAAATGAATTTTTAATTGAAATATATTAAATAAGTTAACTTCAAAGGTTACATGGAAGTAAATTTTACAAATATTGAGGGCTATATCTTTATATTCCTTACAATTTGTGTATATTTTAAATGTACCTGTTTATGTCATAATGTAATATTATACTTATCTTTTGTTTTCTTTATTTGAGAGGGGTCAAAAATGGTATCCCAAAAATGCCCTACGACCTACATGTTCAGCTTTGAGTGCTAACTGTGCCCATATTGGACTGTCCTGGTGCAGAATTGTCTTTATTTAGATGAATAATAAGCCCATTTGATCAAAATAAGCTAGCTTCTTGATGCATGTTCATTCTATGCATCAGTGCATGTGGATTAATGAGAATGACCTACCAAAAGTTGATGCTTCATGTGTTGAGGAACCATTCTAGTGTCTTGAGTCAGTTCTACTGTTCTTCAATGCTTATCACATTTGTTTCAGATCTGTAGAAAGACGTAAAGAACTTAATGAAATAACCATCACATATCTTGCTCATATACATTTCTATCTTATAACAGACCTGGGACATCATATTGAATATCCAATCCAAAACTCTTGTGATCAAGCTATACAGTATTAGTTAATGAAGCCATTTATTGCGATATTGCCTTCATTGCAGTTACCAGAATTTAGAAATGACATTTCGCTCTATTGCTACTATAGAATTTAGAAAATCAATTGTTGTCTGTAGTAATTGAATGTAGTTACCTCCCATTTAACTGTAAATGACTTTGAGGTTCAGTCCTCTATTGAGTATGCTATATAAGTTATTTATCAACTAACAGCTCAATGTTATATATAGAGGAGCACATCATGACCTCGGTTGTCATTTTGAATACCATCAAGCCAGACATGACTGGCATATATACTGTCACAACATCCCTGAGCCTGAGGACCTACCCATAGCCATAGTTGGAACACCCTCAAAATGAAAATTTATTGACCTTGTAGCCCCTTTTTTGTAGCTGACAAAAAGCTAATGGACTCCTTTTTCTCCAGCCCTTAATAGCTATTTTCATGGAACAACTAAAGACTACAAAGTTTTACTGATTATGGCTGTCCGACATCTGACAGATAAAGAGCTTCCAGAACCCCTAAGGGGGCAATTCCAAGATAATACATAGATGTAATTCAGCCAGAGTCAGTAAAACTATCTAATATAAGCTAGAGTGAACCTATTTTGGACCAGAGTTTCAAATTGAGTATATTTTATTATATAATGTTCATACATGAGATAAATATGATATACAAGGATACACAAGAAGAAAATATAGAGAAAAATGGATGCCTAAATTCACAAACGGGGGTATTTTTAACAATAAATACAGGCTGTGTATATTTATATTCAGAAAATATAAGCCAAACCCAATTGTGCTCTTTTTAATAGCAAAAAAATACCTCTGAATAGAATAGACAGTTTGCATGTTTCTTTTTAAACAAATAATCTTAAATGTGCACATACAAATCTTTGTTCGTTTACAAATACAAAATATAAGACAAAAAGAGTAGTGTATAGAAAACAGTTCTATCAACTTTATAACTTTGGAGAGTTACATTCACATGATTAACTTAATGTCAGCCAATTCACAAAAAATAATTTCCTCTTTTATAAAGATTTAAATATATGATATATTCACTCACAAATACATTCTTGATAAGTCACGATTCACAAAATAGTTTAACAACAAATGCTTACAAACTTTCAAAATCATATCAAAACCATCGTAAACCGAAAATTGGCACCACAGAATCTAATATATTTGAAAGTTTGTTTACATTAGCAGACATTTTGTTTCAAGTTCTTCTACGTCACCAATTCAAAATGGAGAGCAACTCCAATTTTGCGTTCTTGCTGTTGGATATTCCATTCTTTGTTCTATGGAATTTTCAGCTGTCAAGAAACCAGACGCAAAAACGGCAATTTTATAAAGAAAATTGGAATGTGATACAACTTACATTGTTCCTGTGATTTATATAACTAAGACTAGAAAATCTGGACTACCAATACTTCACAACCCCTTGACCTTTATTGAACTCTCCCACAAATGCATATTTCTAACTGTGTGTTATAGTACTATTATAATTCAGAAGAGTTCACTACTATAATAAAGGGGTGTTTTAGGGACTATATTCTATATAATACAATTGATACGACCACTAATCTATGAAACATTTTATAACTCTTTCACAGCCAATGTTTTTACATAGGATATCTTTTTAAGCCTTAATAGAATTTAAATCGCTTTAGAGAGTTCGTCAGAAATTAAATGTTGCTGATTCTAAAGAGATTTAAATTCAAGATAATAAGATAAAAAATTATTTTTTCATTTGATTTAGCCTTTAGCAGCAGCCATACCAGGTGTTTCCATGTTATTTGGTTCTACGTCCAACTGTTTCCCCAGATACTCCCTACAATAACAATTTATATGTACATTAATAAATCTGTTAATATACCCTATATATATATTAATCTTGGAAAGTCTACCCCACCAACTAAACTACCTGTCCTGATAAGGGATCTGATATCCAAAACAACAAAAAACAAAACAGAAAAGTATAAGTGGCCTCCCTTCATTTATCCATAAATTTGACACAATTCATTCAACCGAATACAACAAAATGGTACAAAAAACAAGACAGTTTTATAAAGTTTCTACTTACCAGTTATGGACCATAAGTTTTTGGACAGCTATCAAAGCTTCATATCTAACATTAGGGTCTTCATGTCCTAAATACCACATCACCTTCTGTTTGGCTCCCAGCTGTTCCACGGCACTGAAACACGACAGACCAAATTTACATTCATTCATTACCAAAACAAAGCAAGCGCAGCAGAGTCACTCACAAAGTACGGTCACTACCGGGCAAGGACCTCCAATTTTGAAGCACAACTAGACATGCTACAGCCCCTGCTCGAGGGGTTAAAGATGCAAAACCTTGGCTTTTTATAAGGTGGGGTGACTAAGCCACACCTTGACGCCAATATTCCAACCTGTCTTACCAAAATAATTTAGGGGTTTATCGCACAGATTCTTAAGCCAGTAGTAGTACCAGTGTCAGTGAAGATATTTTTATATAAGGTATAGGATACTCACTTTTTTCCTCTAGGATAATATCGTACATATTCCCCAATATCATGAGCTGCTACAGACAGGATTAAGGGATCTTTACTCGTGTCTAATAGACGTACCAATATCCTGAAAAAAAACACAAAAAAATAGTTTAAATACAAGCATATCTTAAGCGCAAACTTGATTTTTCGAAGCTTTCTAATATAAGTTTTGATGCGCATTTATCAATTCAAAACATATGTTCACTTACTTTAAAAGTTCGTAATTTTTCTCGTTCAATCTGATGGCATTTTCTCTCCAGAATCTGTCTGACTTATGAACAGGACTCCATTCCAGTCTGCCTGATTTTATTTCTGTTGTATACTCGTCAAACGAACTGAAAATATAATGGAATAAAATTAGATTTATCACTTTCTCAATTAAGATATTGTTATAAATTACCCTTTGAGAATCTGGGCATTTGTACCCCCAGTCTCAGAAGTCTGGCACCACACCTGGTGTTTTAAGAGTAATGATGGGTGTGTCAATAAATAAATTGAGATAGTCTAACCTGAGATCCTGGACAGAAGATAGAAGAGTTTCCGTGAGAAATTTCAAATCATCCACAATATCTGGATCATCAAACTTTCTTCCTTCCAATAACTCTAGTTGTTTCAGAACTTTACATTGTACCATTGACAGAGCATGGACATGTTGGATTTCCTTTTCTTCAGGCTTCTCAATTAGATTCTGAAAAATAATGACACCCTGTCAATAATGTAAACATCGGCCATTAGAAGGAGACGTTTATGTCATCTCAAACAAAGAATAACAGATGCAACATAAGCTAGAAATGTAAAGAAACTCTCCCTATCATTCATATTTCACCTTTAGTTATAATACTGAATGAAGACCTGAAAGAACTGTCATAGGTGCTACGATAACGCACAAAAAGGGCAGAATAGGGTGCCAGAAATATTGGTGGATGAAATGAAAAGAACACGACTCACCCTTAATGTAGCTAAAATAATTCTGGTCACTTTTTCTTTGACAGACTCACTGAGAATATCAGCTAATATTGGAATGATGTTATACCTGAAATATAACATATTTATTTATTTATTTATTTATTTATTTATTTATTTATTTATTTATTTATTTATTTATTTATTTATTTTTATTTATTTTTATTTATTTTTATTTATTTATTTATTTATTTATTTATTTATTTATTTATTTATAAATTTATTCATTCATTTATTTATCTATTCATTCAAATATAGAATATGAGAAGAAGAATAAAATACACCTTAAACTTAACAAAATCAAAGTTATAATGATAAAGAAAAGTCAAACAACGTATAATGGAGTTATGGTTATTAGAAACTTACTTGTTTATTTTCTCTGCTAGACTGACATTAAATGTTAAACACCAGAGACAGAAGATCAGCTGATACTGTATCTGAAACCCAACTTTACTACCAGCTAATACTGATATTATACTGAAATAATACAATCGTAAAATGGTAGGTGACAAGCCTTAAATGATATATGTTTTTTCTGAAAGCCTGATGTGACAATGAAAAGATGTTGGCCACAGATTCTGTGAGGAAAAGATCATTTCCCTACATTTCCCTCATTTCACACTGCAAGGCATCGAATTCCCTGAAATGCATGTCATTGCTTTAACCAATACAGGAGTAGAACAGTACAACAAAAAAGGTCCATTTATTCTTGTGGTTACATCTATAAATAGTAGATTTCTATACTTACGCTGATATGCCTTCTACCTCTACAAACATAGTTCTATAGTGATCCAGTCTCAACATCATCTGTAGACAACGTGCTGCTGTCTGTAAATACTCATTACCCTGTAAAATAAACAGATACAATGAAATGAAGGGAGTTTTACATCCTACTTTCAATACTGTTATATCAGATAATCCATTAAATAGTTACAAACCAGGAGAAAATTATTATTTATCAATAGTTCTAGCTCACTCAAAATTCAATAAGTTATATCACCTATGCTTCTGTCAAAATTCACATCTTAAACTTACTGGTTTACTGAGCTGCTCTTTCAACCAGCTGAGATAAAACTGTAGATTCTTTTTATCCATTGGTTCTTTACTCCAGCAGGCAATTTTACCAATTATTCTACTCGACTAAAATGATAAAATATCTGATTTAGGAGAAAGAGACTATTCACCTCGTACTTTATTGTCTAGGGCTTAAATTGTACACCATTATAATCTTCCATTAAATTAGGAACAAGATATTTCAATATCGTTATCTACATAAATAAATCCAATACTTACCTGGTACACTATAAACTTATCATCTCGTTCTAGAAGATGAAAAAATGGTGACCAGACAGACTCCTTTCGTTTCTTGGCATATTCTTTAAAAATCTCTACTCTTCCTTTATCCTCCTGAAAATACACAGAATTGGAAATGACATGGAGTTTTTCATCCTACTTCTTACTCCTGAAGCTAATGAAATAATAAAACCCCATGCAGTGTACAATCGTGGGAATTTTGTAGTGGTAAAGTGTTACTTGTAAGGGAAAGAAATGTTGAAACCAGTACCTGAATACTATCATCTAACATAGTTAAAATATACTGTAGTGTCTGGTCTTTAGCTATCTGACCAATCAAATTAAAGAATGTACCGGCAAACTGGAAAATAAAACAATTCTTCAGAAAATGGACATTGAAAGACAAACAAAATCTCAAGGAGAAAACCAACAGGTATCTATCCAAATCACAATCTAAAAGTCCAAATGCTCAATCCAAAAATTGAGTAGTTAAAATACCTGTAATGGATTCTCCTGCAGCATCTGTACTCTAGTCTCAGCATTGCCATTATCAAACTTGGAAATAAAGGCAAAAATATCCTGAGATATCATCTGTCCCCTAAAACAAAATAAAAGCTTTTATTATTCATCAAATGAGTCATATACATTTATTTGTTGGGCCTTTAAGAAAGATCCATTGACCGATAAAATGTAATAAAAACTATCATTGTTGATCAAGTGAGATTTATACAGTTATTTGTTGAGTCTTTAAGACATATTGTCTATCAATATTTCTGTGTCTGAAAGTTATTAAAGATAGACTACTCACTGTAGATAGGACTGCCAATTGACTCTGTTAGCTCGGACATCGTTAGCTCTTTCTTGTAGCAAACTGGTAGCTACCTGGGCTCCTGAAATATTCCACAGAATAATATTTCAATTATTAATAAGTATTAAGAGTGTAATCCACTATCAAACTCAAAATTATGCTATGATCATGTTCACCTTTTGACGAAAACCGTACTAGGGCAATGACAGACGTACCCTATTTTCAAAATATTAAAATCACAAGTGTCAGTGAATATGATAGTGTCAACAGACATTTTATCAAGGGCTAGTCAAGGAGACATTTTTAAGTTGTCAAGAAAAAATTAATTTTGTATGTGACCTATTTCTTCCTCTACCATTGGCCAACAATCGTCCATTTTTCTTTGATGAAAAGTAACTTGTGTTAATCAAGACGAATGACTAAATGTCACATACTTATATAAAACAATAAGATTAACAAACAATAAAGTAATGTATTTTTATGAGGCCAAGTAAGCAAGCAGACGATTTTTTCATAATGCACAATATTTTGACATTTTGAATCAACTTATTTCCGCCATTTCCATACTGACCCTTTTCTAAGTCTTCGATATTGGAAATATCCATGTTCATCTTGCTCTCTGACAAGGTGATTAACTCAATTTCCTTCTGAACTGGCATAAAATTCAAAATCACTTGTGCATAAATTATTCTTTGACTTTACTCGGCCACCATTTTGGTTATCACATGACTTTGACTCACGCGTGAACTCGCGGGACTGTAGTTGCGTTCGATTTGTCACTTGAGTTCGAAGCATGATTCCATTGAGTCTTATATAATTCAAGTAAATATACTCTGATGGAATTTGACTAGTCTTCGATGTAGATTGTTTAGGGTTGTTCAAAATTTGATTGCTTATATCTCAGACCAAAAATCGCAAGACTGCATCACGAACATCTTAACTTCCTGTTCGATTGTCCAGGTTTGTTTTGAAGATTCATTTCACGTGTTGAGATTAAGTAAATTTGATTACTAATATTGGCCTGAATCCTCCAATTTCGGTACATGACAATCTGGATGTCATTTCTGGATCTGAAAGTGACCACCACTTTCCCATTCCAACCTTCATCTTGCTCCCATAACCCAAATCTTTCGCTCTAAATCCCATATACAATGCTCCTTTCAGTTGTCTTAGTCCCACACCCTTTCCTTAATCCGAAGCTCTGTCTGAAACCCGAAGCTCTATCCTAAACCTTTACTCATTCGTATATGTCTTAAATCCAATGCACTTTCCCAAATTATGCTTGCTTGTCCCAAATCCTAATCCCTTTCCTTAATCCCACTCCCATAATCCCACGTTTTATCTTAATGAAATTTCCCATATATAGATCTAATAGTTGGCTTTATATTATATTACAGATTAAAATGGGGTCCACGTCAGCTTTTAGTTCAACAGACATCCTAGATAGGGAAACAAACGTCAACCCAGGGGAGATAACTGATAGGACAACTGGAGCTGATATCCCAGAATTCTACGAGATAGAAAGATGTCAGAAATTCATCCAGGACGGACAGTTTAAGCGAATAGCTCTGCAGTTTCCTGATGAGTTGCTAGGAGACAGCAGCTGTGTTGTTAAGGCTCTACAACCAATGGTAGATGGTATGGTCTTTATTCTTGGAGACACGTCTTACGGAAGTTGCTGTGTAGATGAAGTAGCAGCCCAACATTCAAACGCAGACTGCATCATCCATTTTGGACGTTCGTGTTTGAGTCAAACAGTACGGTTACCAGTGCTTCACGTTTTTGGCAAGTTTCCACTCGATGTCACAGACTGTTGTGAAAAATTCCAAACATTCGCAGACGTTAATAGTCATGTGATCATCTTGTTTGAAACATCCTATCTTCATTGTGTCAGACAAATTCACTCAATTTTATTGAAATCACATCCTAATGTCGTTTTGTCTTATTTGAACATTCCTGAAAATACAAATCCTGTGAGCGAAGATCTTTCAAAGGGAGACAACTGCGAAAATAAGACCACAATAATCAGTCGTTGTAATAGACATTTTGTTTTGTTAGAGAATACAAGCTTAGAGAATTATTCTGTGTTTTATATCGGCTGTGAAGGACAGACTTTGTCAAATTTAATCATGAATTTTAACCAGAATCAGTTCTTCACCTACGATCCAATCACAAAAATGGATGAAAAACACGAAACGAACACTAACAGAGCGTTAATGAAGCGATATTATATGATAGAGCGAATAAAAGATGCAGACATTGTTGGCATCGTCATAGGAACGCTGGGCGTCAACAATTACTTAGATGTCATTCATAGAATCAAACAACTATTAAAGATGGCTGGAAAGAAATTCTACACTTTCGTTGTTGGCAAATTGAACACGGCCAAGCTTGGAAACTTTTTAGAAATTGATGCTTTTGTGTTGGTGTCCTGCTCTGAAAATACTTTGGTGGATTCGAAAGAATTTTATAAACCAATTGTGACCCCTTTCGAGCTAGAAATCGGGCTGAATTCCAATCGAGAATGGTCAGTAGACTATAGGACAGATTTCCATGAGATTTTACCGGGATCGGAGAATTACTCAGAGATCAAAGTCCTGGATGAAGAGATGGCAGATGTGTCTCTTATCACAAATAAAGTTCGGACATTAGGAAAGAGAAGTAACTCTAGAAGTAATGTTACTGATATTCAAATAGGGTCTGATAAGTCTGTAGTTGCTCACACTGCTGCAGAGCACCTGTCAAACAGATCATGGCAAGGGCTGGAACAAGCTCTGGGAGAAACACCTGTGGAGAAGGCTGAGGAAGGCCAGACTGGTATTGCAATGAGTTACACAAGTGAACCCTCCAAATGATAGAAGAATATTTTTAATAATAAAGTTTTAAATACAGTATATTGCCATTTTGTTGTTTCTTTAAAAAGGGTCTTTGAGTTAAGAATTCATGTTGATCTGTTAATAATGCAATCATGAGTCATGAAGCAGTTAGTGGAGTTGCAAGAACCACAGACATCTGACTGAAAATTAGAATGGTGCAAATAGATGTAGATACTACCAATGACCCTGATACACATAAAAAGTTCAGAAAACCCCTTTACAATCCCTTTAAATTAAGGGTCACTCTAACCCCGAACGCAGAATTTGAATGAGCATCTCTTAACGCGGATTAGATATAATCCCCTAGCCTGTGATGTATACTTATCCTAATCGTTTCTCAATAAGATGATAGGGTCATTAGACCTTAAATTAGGACTCACTGGGGGTCTAATTGTCCCTTGATAGTCTTTAGTGATGAGGGTCGTTACGGTCCCTGGCTTCATCGGTCATCATGCGGGGGTGGAGGGAAGCTAAATATATATACCTTCATCTTCCTTTCGTAATCTGGGGGTTATTCTGACAGAAAAATGAAAAGACATCAACTAGGTTGTCATCCACGAGGATGGAAACGGATCCTCATTTCCATCCTGCAAGGTGGGATGGGGAAACTAAAGGAAGAGTGGCCAGTAATCTACAAGGTTGTCGTCAACGATGCTTGTAACGGACCCTTGACATCCTACAGGATAGGATGCAGAATGCAATTCCCAATTGATCCATTTTACATTTCATATTCGGATTTTGTAATTGGGGGCTATTCTCAACAAAAATCCAAAATCAATTGAGGTGGGGCAGATTAACTTTCTTCAGCCCCACCTCCACACCCACCCCTCCAACCGACTCACATCTTAAATATAAAAACTATCTGGTTTGTGATTGAAAGTCGAGGACATCGTTTCGTATAAGATACAGATCAGTAGGATGTAAAACTCTAACCAATTTCAATGAGGGACAAGTTCAAAATCATTTAGTACGAAAAAATAAAACCCTAGTGTAGTAAAAAATACTCATTTAATTAATTCGGTTAACAGCTTTTCATTTCACTAACCCATAAGAAACTTATATGCTGAGTAAGATGCAAAATAATGTTAGGTTAATCTCCACTTCAATAGCTCAATAAAGATACAAACACATTAAAGACTCAAAACTCCTATCTGCTTCTGAAAGATCTACCAGATAAGGTGCATGACCGCCACGCTGTAGATACCTTGAAAGAGCCCGGTATGGTTGAACGCGTGCTATAATTATCGAGATGATCTAATAGGCACTTGATAAATAGAGAGGATAATCATGGAACAAAAGGCAACAAAAAAACCATGAAGGTCGAATAAGACATGTACTCAGTCAGCAGGTTGTATAAAAAGACACCACAGTCGTCTGTCTGCCCTATTTTTTCCGGAGTGTCGAGTCACAGAACCAACCTTCGGAAAGTTCACTCAGTGCTTATACAGTTGATGGTGGTACTAGACTGACTTCATACGCGGACTGAGGATAGAGGGGTAGATTTCTATTGAGTTTCTGATAGCGGAAAAACTCATTAGTTTTCAGAACAATTGGACTCCGATTCCGTAGGACATCTCTTTGGTATCTGCATTAGTTTGTATTACTGAGTGTTTTTGGGAAGGCAGTGCTGGATTTTACCAAACAGATCTGCATGGAAACAATGAAAATATTTTGAAAAATAGATCAAGGTTAGTAATCAGAGATGCAGTTGAACGGATAAAAAATCGCATTTGCAGTCCTTAAAGGTTTTGATCTGCTGAGCCAGTGGTTTAAATGTGTCCTGGTGGTTGCTTTTTGCGGTCGAGACGTAGAAACCCAGTTTTTGTCACGAAAGATTCAAGGGTCAAAGTTGAGGGTGCGCGTGCAGGATTTAAATCCAGATCTATTTAGGGAAAGTCATTCCGAACAAAAAAAGATTGAAAAGATTTCTAGATCTCAGTGGCTGATACAGAGGTACAAAGAGTACAGTCAGATATTATTTTGTTTCGTGTTCGTCGAAAATCTGACAGAGCATAATCACTGCTCCAAGAGCAAGCAACATATTTAGCTGTAGGGATTGAAAGACAATACCGAGCTGACTCTAGAAGACTCACAAAAGCATTGGAAGTGGCTTCAAATTGAGGAGGTTTTGAGCCAACAGCATATCAACAGACGACAATTACTCAGGAAGGAAGACTTAGTATCTGGAGCGCCCTAGTCCAAGAAGTAGTACCACGTTTGGATACTCTATTCAAAGGAACAGTAAAGACAGCCAAAGGACCACATCTTGATAATCCCTTTCGATTATTTTTAAAGGTGAGTAGAACGATTTTTTTAAATTTCACCGAGGAACGTATCTCGGCATGAAGAATAATGGTGAGTCGCAATGGTACAGAATATTCTGCTACATTTTCTGCTTATGCGAACCCACCAGAGCATCTAATGCAAAAGAAGACAAGGCCATACGGAAAATGGTGTCCAACTAGATTTTCTGCTTCAGAATGCTTTTGCATCTATGCGTGAAAGTGACATTAAGCTATGCACTGTGCCCTATATGCATCTAACCACACCCCGTCACGTGTCTTTATTACCTGGTTCTAACCAGTTACACCCAATTACTTCACATTGCTCATAATGAAACGTTAACACCATGGTGCAGTATGCACTGAAATTTCTTAATTTCCATTAGAACAAAGCCCAGAGAAGACTCCGGGCATGACTCCAGGCATATCTCTGTTTCTCGAAATGTCAAACTGAGGATCTGCACTGTCACATGACTGTGTACCCTAACAACTGACTGAAACCTAGCCTTTCCTAGTCCTACCCTTCACGTTTTCCCCAGTCTAAAAATAGAAGATGCACTGCCCAATTTGTGAATGTACGCCTATGTACTTTATGGAGTTATATTTTGAAAGTTATCCAAGTAAGTCAGTAGGATACCGAATTAAATAAAAACACACCAGTTTTTGTTGTCATTGTTTCGCACCAACGCTTTCACCTTCCAAACGAAGGTCGATACTTGGTGTTTCTGCCGCTTTAATTGCTCTGACGTCACGTTTGTAAGCAGAAGATGAGTAAAATCGGTTTAGATTACGTTGATAAGATATATAACGAATGAGGAAAAGGGGCCATAATCGCATAATTGGTGACAAAATTTACAAAAAATAAGACTCTGTATCATTTAGCACGCATTCCCCTTTATGCTCCGGAAGTTGCATCCCCATTTACGAATTAACGAGGTCAATCAATCCTAACGAAATGAACTTCAAGAAACTTCTTGTGCATTTGGATGGTGGTCTCTTTATATATTCGACCCAACTAGAGTTTACAATGCTCATATCATAAAGAAACTAATATATTTCGGTATTTTACAGTCAAAAGAACGGATATTGGTATCTTGGAAGCATGGTGTTGTGTAGCATCGACAAGCAACCAGTAACCAGCGACAATACAGAAGGTACGACATCTCCACCTTCTTCTTATGCATTTAATCCCTTCTCATGCTTTGTATCCCCCTCAACCTCCGTATCAACCACATCTTCCCTTCGTCTGTCTTGCTCTCTTTCTTTTCATCGTCTGCAACTTAAATAATTTATTTTTTATCTATCATTTCAGATTCCCAGCCAACTACCTTCTTCATAGACAAGGAAGACTCCGTGGTCGACTTCAAACTAAGTAAGTTCCTTTGCCAATTACCTCTTGTTTCAGACTAGCTTCCATGAGTTAGGGTTCAAATCCCCACCCGTATCTCTTCTCCTTACTCTTACTTCTCCTGAGTCTCCTTTCCCTAGGAGCACTGCTCTGTCTCTGTTTGTTCTCTTCTTCCTTAATCACTCTGCCTAATAACTCCGACTCCACCCTTCTTTCTCTTTTTCCCTGTCCAATTATTAGATCACTATAGTGCATGCATGTATAACTATAAGTCGTAAAACCATTGAAATACAATCCGTTTCCAATATCCCGTTTGATGACGTCAGGCCTTAACACCGGATGTGTCTTCATGTAAAGAAGTCAATAAAAGTCCCAGTTTATGTGTCTTTTACTCTCTCGGTTCATACAGGTCAATAACACTCGGTGGACCCCTTTCACGAGATCTTCTGAAATGTGTCTTTGTATCGGCTCAGGCCACATTTCAAGAACCCAACGTATCCGACTACACGCATGGGTTCGGATCGCTCTGGACTCTACGATAACCAAAAATATGTATATGACAATATGGGTGTAGATCTCTGGACTTGTAGTATGAATTATTAATGAAATATCATCAGATTAATTGATTTGGCAGGTGAAGGTTTTTGGGTGTTTGGTGGATTATTTTTTTGTCAGGTACATTATCGTTACTGTCAGCTGTCTCAATCAATTACTTGTCAGACCATATTCGCTGTTTTTCTGGAATTGGAAAAGGGACCACTGTAGGTAAAAGGCCTAGGCTATCTTGGCGCAACAATGGTTGTCCGTCAGCATTCTTCTTGACCCTTTTTGATTCTCTTTTCCGAATCGCTAGGACTTTTATTGTACTACTTACGCACCGAAGTTCAACGTTTTCGAGAGACGACTACGTGTCTTACGTTCACTTCAGAAAGGTGGACTTTGTCTCATGAAAAACGTGAATTGAATTTGAGTAGGTACGGTTACATGATGGTTTATCCTTGATGAATACTCTTATAATATGAAGGTAAGGGATTGTAAGGGACCGTACAGGTAATGTAATTGAATATTGATATGTACTGAAGCGACACTTGTAAACAATCTCCGACCATCATCTGTCCAAATGACAAATCACCAAAGAAATCCGAAATGAAATATTATTTTCTGCTCTTGCTAGAGCGTTTCGACGGGACCTCCAGAATTGAGGCTCGCCCGGCTTTTGCCCCCTCCTCTCAAATTTCTTGAACTCTGATGAACGCCTGATGATGACCACCCCCTTTCAATGCACCTGACTCGGCCCTCATAGAAACACAGAAAAGGCGAGACCTTCCACATACACTGCCTGTAGCACACGGAAACACTTTTTCCCAGCTGCGTCACGACCAAGTCTCCGGCCAAGTTCGATGAAATTAGAAGTTTTACCTTCTTTTAATACTGTAGATCTCTCGTGAAGCTTCTTGCTGGAATCATTCGCTTCAGATGGCGCTTTACATCCTGAAAAACGATTTCTTAACTTGTTAATGACGCCTGGTTTATCACAAATAACGATCGATGTGATGGAGTTCATAAGTCGGTCAAGGCACATCAAGTCTTCAAATTCAAAATGTCGTCGCTATGGCGATTGCATGTCACATGATAATAAGTCAGACGTTACTTCCGGTTTAGGACGTTCCTGACAGAATGTGATGTTGTCTGCAGACGACAAAGACTGTAAGATTAAAATGGCCAACCATAAGGCTGATATTGTCGTGCAGTTGAATACTCTCCTTGTCTTGTGGTCCTTTGACATATGACATAAGACTTTAATTAATGATTGTCCTATACTATATTAAAAAAAAAATATGGCTACCACTAAAGTCTTGTTGTAGGCCTACAATTTGACATATTACAGTAACCCTGTTCCAGCTGTTGAGAAATGTCGGCCAGACATATTTAGAACATCACCAATTGTTTTGGCTCTCTTCAATTTGAGGGATGCTCAAATTTAAAGAATAGAAGCTAATTATAGTTGCAATGAAAGCAAAAAAGGGTTAAAGCAATCCAAAGCATTATTTGACAAATTTACAAAAAAGTGTCGGCTCTTCAGAATAAGAAACACATCTTGTTGCATTTTTCCCCGTCTTGTGGTTCATAGTTTCTGGTGCCATTGCTGATTGTACGCTCCAAAAGTTACCACCAAATCTAAAATCTCAGGAAACCACAAGAAGGGTGATAATTTATGAAAAAGAAAAACTTATTTTAATCCGTCACGGTGAGTAGAATAGTCCTAAATAAGAGTTTACGTCACAACTCTCATTTCAATTCATAACTCATAAGTGTTAAAATTAGTGACGAGACACTCGAATCCATGTTTTTACTTGTAGTCCGTTGTCGAGAAGATGATGTTGATGATACTAAGACGATGTCCTACCGTAGGAAAGGATTCCAAAACACCTCAGTGCTAAGAAAGTGGCTTCCAATCTTGCTAAGATAGTATTGACAATGTTAGGCTGGTATCTGGAAAGGCACATTTAGGTACAGGAGCCGAGTAGGATCCACAGACTTGTTAAAGGGGCTCACAGCCAAGAATATGCCAACCAACCATCAATTCTTGTGGTAATAAGACCTGGGCACTCCTGGTTACCACTGTTCTCGACAACGTGCCCCGGTTGCTGACTGGTGTCGTCTTTCATCTTTGACTCTCTGTCATCCTAAAGACGTACTTTATTGTCTTCGTCGTTGATTTCATTACGGTTGGTTAATTTTACCACTTGCCTGCCCTTAATGTCACCATGTACATAGTTCACACAACAAGCGAATGACTGGTACGGCTTGGTCAACGTGTTCGTGTAGTAATATCTGAAACGACTTACGTGGAAGGTCAAAAGAGTGCGTCCAATTGAGTTCTGAGAGGCATCACGGCTTATCAAGCTTCCTCGACCGAGTATAATAATACTGTAGCGTTCAGGATACCTCAGTTTCCTTCTACATATCATTGTGTTCGGATTTCTTTCATTCTTCAATACTGATCTCTTTTCCTTCTCTGATCATCGCAAGGATCATTATGTAACTGTGAACCATCTTGGATCTTACTTGTGTATTCGTGCACTTCTCTTTGGATTAAATACAGCTGCGACTAACGATACGACGTTGCAACATTGTAACATTGTCCAAATTTACCGTTCAACATTGGAATTGATTTGCGTATTATGTGCTTAATCTTCAAATCTTAAAAAAATGTTCAGTCCACGACACGGTGTTCCGAAAATTATTGTAAGCGATATGACGGAACCGGCGGCGGATCGTTTGGATAATCCTTCCGGAGAAACTGATTCCTTATCGCAGGAAGATGGAAAAGTGGAAAAAAGGGACGACAATGAGGGCGATGATGAACTTGGCTCTCCCGGACACGAAGGAACGGATATTCTGATCAATAAAGCAAAGGACACAGTGGTGAACGGAAATGGTACCGTCGTCCTTCAAAAATCGGAACCGAGTCGCCCAGACGATTCCGACCCCAACAGTGTGAAACATTCGGCTTCCGCTAATTTGACGGAGTTGTCAAGCAGCCATGCGAATGATCACCACGGACACAGACACTTCTTCCGCCGCAAGAGCAGTACGGATCCTCACGCACGTCGCGGAAGCTTGGTCACTCACTTGTTACATTTTGTCGGAATGGATCGTAGAGGAAGTACAGATCCAAGAGATGCTGATGTAGAAAGGAAAGACAGTCTTCTTTTGGACACAAAACTTAATTCCGATTCCGACCATATGGAGAGTCCGGATCTGGGACGCAGAATGAGTACGGAGACTTCCGGACAGAACAGGAAACCTTCTATAGACGAAAGTCACATAGAAATGGGAGAGAGTAAATCGAGAAGCGGTGGTCGGAGAAAGTTGAGCATATTCGGAAACGTTCTTCGCAGAGTTAGCATCCACCGCAAGGAATCGATGCCTGTGAACAGACGATCTGTATTCTTTTTCAAGGGCCAGAACTCAGATGATACCAGTGATTCGTCTGGTAAGAGTCCATTTAAGTATCTCTCAAGTAATACATGTAGTCTAGATATCTGTTTACCAGTTGATATGCCTTTACGACTCCCCCACCCCACCTCAGTCTTCATGACCCTCTCTTAGAATCTTCAATTATTTGCAGACGGTAATGGCAACGCGGACAAAGCCGAGAATGGTCAGTCCAATGGAGTGGGAAGAAAACAACAAAAACTGGAGCAGAAACAACTGAACAAACAGGTTCTAGTGTAAGTCAGTAAAAATTCTAGTCACTCTTTGAATAAAGTATCATATACATAATAGCATGATCAGGAGAGGCTGTTGATCAACAATTTTCGCTTCAAGAATTCCCAGTGATGTTGATTTAAGAATACGAGATCCATACGTTTAGCAAGTACATTTTGAGCTGGTCACAATTACAGTTTTCTGTGGTTAGATTGGAGGCTAGAAACTATCGTGTTGAAGATGCTGGCAGACGACCATTTTCATATTTGAGCTTGGCACAATGGTAGTTTTCTGTGATCAGAACTGGGGCAAGAATCTACGGTGTTGAAGATGCTGGCAGATGATCGTCGCCCAGTTGCGCTGGTAGTTTTCTGTGGTCAGACCATTCTAGTCTGTTGTTTTCAGAGATGGTTTATTTATGATACTGAGTGGTCTTTATGGAATCCTGCTGGTTGTTATGGGAGCTGTTATTCCTCTAACAGACACATTCGTGGAACCTGAAAGCGGCTATGTATTTGAGGTGAGTGCTCCTCTTGGTTCTCGATGGGGCAATATGGTGCTCAATATAGCTCACAGTATCAGTGCATTAACTGTTTAACTTGTGACTTGCAGAAGGCAGCAGCAAGACTGAACTATATTGTGCTTTAATATCGTAAAACCTGTATATGATCATCGGATAATTTAGTTTCCCATCTCGCCATCTTATTCATCTATCCTCTTTTGCAGGGATTTTACATCTATCTGTATTCCGTCAGTATTGCGTTCCTCATCTACGTGTACGTGTATCTACTACGTCGTAACCGTCTGAAAACAGAATTTTTGACCAGAACGTTGTCGAGATCTATGTCTTGGACAAAAGCTTGGGCCAGGTCCTGGGCTAAAGGAGAAGCAGCCGATGGAAAGAACAAACGAAGGCGCCATATTTCGATGGATACTAACCATCATACAGGCAGTTTTTATCTCCGATTAGGAGCAGTTGGTAAGTAGTCATATTGTCAGTTGCGTTGCATCTGAATAAAATACTTCCTTTCTCCACAATATCAAACTATGACGAGCTCCGTAAGACGTGAAGATGCCCTTACTCTTGCTTGGAACATAACTAAGTAGGTCAACTGCTTACTCTATGGCATGACCACGCACTCCCCGGAAAGTGTTCTTTGTAAGCTGAAGAGAACTTCTGATCTATTTTTCAGGGTTTGGTATCGGCAGTATGATTCACTCCGGTCTGCATTTCGGTCAGTACTTCCAGGTGTACGACGGTCCCGCTTATTGTACAGATCTGATTCAGGCGTTTAAACCTCTCCTTCATCTCATGTTTACTTTTATTCAACTCTATCTCATCTTTATGAATTCCAAGGTGAGGAAACATGCTGTCAATCTGCGACTGGGATTTTCGTTATAACGTCCCTTTTAGAGAGTTCACATAACTACCTGTGTTTTGAATTGCCAACTTTTCGGACAGCTAACAATTTCAATGCATTTAGCAGTGTAGATTCATAGTCTTGGCATCCTATCGGGAGGTGGGTCTCTAATGTTGGTCTTTTCCTTTGCATCTCTTTCTTAAAGGTCTGTCAACTCATTTATGCTATCTTTTGCAGCTGCGGATTCACAGATACCGAACGCTAGCACGATTTGGATTAATGCACATGTGTGCGACCAACATCTGCGTCTGGTTCCGCAGCATCGTGGTGGAAACGTTACACGTCATTCACCAACAGCATGACGAACATCATGACGTCACTGGACATTCCATACACGAGGTACAAGTGTTTACCAATGGATATAGCGCCAACGAAACTACGTACAACAGCTCGGGCTTCCATGGCCGAAAGTTACATGCAGGTAGGTTTAGAGAAAATGGATGATGACTTGATAGCTACACATTGATGGATCCCAAATTCAGTGATTGTCCTTAAAGATATAGTGGTTCCTTATTCACGTCAAAGGATGGATCTTTGAATATTTCCGATTTAGCACCAAATATTATACAGAACCATTAATTGGGTAGTGACTTTTTATTGTTACGCTAATCATGAATGATTTCGTTTTCAGTGTCTCTGGGCCAAGGTACTGGAAACAATTCATGTCGCTGGTCGGACATGATGGGACGGGCTGTAGAATCAGCTGGACCGTATCTCTACCCCTGTACCATTGAATACAGTCTGATGTGTGCTGGTATGTATATTCTACTTCCGGTTGGTTGGTTGCTAAGTTGATACTAATCCAACGATCAACTTTTGAGACTAGTTGTGTTGCAGTGTTGTTCTTTGTGGTTTGGCAAATTTTTGCATAAATGGTTCGCTCTTATGGCCACTGCCGGATGGTTAGCAGAACCTTCTTGTTACAGAAGTGGCTTGCTTTGGTTTTAGAAGCTATATAAACGTTTGCTTCAGAGATAGATTTCGCAGACTAAATGGGCGAAGTAGATTGGTACTTGATATATAATGGTTGGCCTAAAAACTGGGTACTTTGGGGGTACTGGTTCGGCCAGCTTTTGTTTAGTACACCCTTGACAACTTCCCTCAGGGGAACTAACTCTAAACGTTGGAAAATATAATGCATCTATGTATTACTTCTTCCAGGTATCCTGTACGTAATGTGGACAAATGTAGGAGAAAGACAGAATAAAGTTCGAACCGATTCAGACGCCGAAGAGGAAGAAGAAGATCTCAGATCACACCAAAGAATGAGCGTTGATTGCGCTGGATCCAGTCGCGGATTGTTCCTTGGAATCCTTATAACGGTCGGTGTGATCATCTCCATCATCGCCTTTTATGTCTTGATCAATCAGAGAAATCAGCCACTTCATCTGTCCGCCATTGTTCTCACCCACATGTCGGAGACCATCGTCTATTTGGTGACCACCATCGCCCTCTGTCTAGCGGTCATGAGAATGAAAGAACTCCACTTCCACGCTGAACGGAAATCAGACCTTGAAGACACCCTTATTCTGATTTCTTACACCGGTCTTTTGGGATTCGCCACTTTCAGTTTGACGGCTGCTTTCATGAGAGCTTCTGACGTCAGAAGCTGGTTGACGATGATATCCAGTTTAGCTATGGTTATCCAGGCCACGCTGCAGACGATATTTATTTTGTGCGGAGATCGACTATCGGCTGCGTCATCGTCACAAGAAAGGAAGAAACCAGGACGAGAATTTGTGACCTTTTTGTTGCTAAGTAACTTTGCCATGTGGGCACTGAACACTTTTGAAACCCAAACTCCCGAACACAACCCTATTCAGGTTGAGGTTTACGGGCATGATGCTTGGGCCATCTTTACCCACGTGTCCGTACCCCTGGGCATTTACTTCCGGTTCCATTCAACTGTCTGTCTCTCAAATATATGGAAAAATGCATGGAAGGTGAGGAAACATATGTAAATAGTTTATTATGTTGTACGATATAGTGGAGTAGGCCTTGACATGGACAATGGGCATTGGACGAAGAATTTGTATATAGGCCTGAACATAATGGTAGGGGAAGAGGACCTTCATGGTACGACAGGGGCTTGAAAAACTATTACCCCAAGAAAATAAACGTCTGATACGATGGTTTGAAATTGAAGAAATCCTATATTTGTACATATTTTTTATAGTGTAATATATATACGTATGTTTTGTATGAAATGAAATGGGGCTTTACGTCTACTAATATGCGCTTGTGTGGTATAAAAGCAGTAAATTAATTGGAGAGGTGGGTTGGTGGGGATTATCTCCTCTAACTTGTAGCCTCAATTAGTCTTCAGAGATTGTCATGACAAACGAGTAGCTTTATTGAACATTATTGCAACTGGTAAATTATATATATACATTATGTAAAGCTGTAAATGGTCCTTAATAAAGTTCTTAGTTCAAAATGGAATATCTGATGTGAAATTTTACGTCCAATGACCAACCAAGCCATTTACAGAATATAACAAACCTTACTGCCTTAGAGCATTAAGTCCTAACCTATGTTTTGTGATACTGATGAAGCTCATGAGTCGGGCCACACCATGCAGTGTGCAATAAAGTTAAAATATTCAAGAACCAAGGTTTAATTTAGCACTGCAGTATCTTTTTCCCGTCCATTCTAAAGCATTGACACTTTTCCCCTCCACCCAAACCCTGTTATTATCTTTTGCGTCGGTGATTCGACTTGGTCAAGATTACTTTGAGGTGTATAGTATTGATAAATAAAGGGAAGTAAGTCTGTAAACACTGTACAAATACATACAACAATTAACTTACCATACTGCTTGGCCGCGAAGCAAGTTTTCTTATCACTCTCATTCAATAACTCGGTCTTCTAGTTGGCATCGGGAGTCTGAAACGGTATAAAAATTACTGACCAGTAATATATACTTAGAGAAACTGTCTCCTTAATGCGGTACAGGATAACATGAGGCATTAAGAGGCACAATGTAGCTTCGACGCAGTACAAATAAGGCATTAGCTGTGAACTAGTTTCCATACGGTACAGGTTATTTATGCATTAGCTCCAGTTGAACACTGTACAAGAGGCATTTGTTAGTACACTTGTTTCAATACGGTACAGGTTATTGATGCATTTAGTTGGACATTGTACCTTCAAAGCTGTGTACGAGAGAGGCATTTGTTAGTCACCAGCCTCAATACGGTACAGGTTATTGAACCTTTTTTTGGAAGCTTCATGGAGGTCAAAGTTAATAATGGCATTGTTGGAAATACCTACTATACGGTACAAGTTAATAGAGGCATTTTTTTTTTCGATTGCCTGATCAAAAGAAGATTTTGGTTGATCACACAGACAAAAGTGGACCTATGCATTCCCAGCTGGGTAAGGGTAGGGACAAAAGACAATCTGAGCTCCATTTCAAATGCCCCAACCTTTCTAAGGGTTTTATGTAAAATTAGGTCTTTTGCTCACCTCCAATTTTCAAAACATGTCCTAGAGATTGAAAAATTCTGAAATTATGATGATAAATTATCTTTCAATAAATGGTAACTTAATCTAACTAACTAAATAATTGAAGAATTTATATTTTTAATGAAAGAAAAATAAAAAGTAAATACAATGAGCTGATATAAAATATCATTTTATATTTTTCATTTTTAATCAAAAGAATTATTTCTTCTATAGTAATAAATAAGATGTTAGTATTTCGTGACATTTTTCAAAACTTTTAGTAACTAACTACCAATTCCAGTACAAAACATAAAAAAAATATATATATTCAAATCTTGCTTACAAGTACAGAGTTTGTTTCAAACCAATAAAAAAACGTTTTCTGTTTTTCAAGAAGAAAAAAAAATCTTTGGAAATAGCGAGAATTTTTTTTAAGGTATCTTTATAATTGAAAACTTTCTAAAATTTGAAACATAACTAACGTAATTTCTAGAGTAGTTAATATATTTAACTTTCATTGGTTTCTTTTTCCATGAAAAATACCTGACCATAAATAAAAATTACATAAAACTGAAATTTCTTAGTGCATCTTTCTTACATTAAATCAAAAGTAAATTCAGTTTCTGCTTGAATTCTTAACTCCATTGGATAAAAAAATAGGAAAGAGAATTTCTTTGTACAATTCTTTTCAAATTAAACCTTTAGTGCCTTAATTTGCTTCAAATAAATTTTAAAAACTTCAGAAAATAAATCATAAAAAGCCAGAAAATAAAAGGGTACAAGAAAGGTGAACGAACAATGCTTGAAGGTGGTGACAGTATTTTGATTATGTGCAATAAATATGATGATTATGAAATTGTGACATAGACCTGATCATTCCAGACTCCATTGAAATCAAGCATCCAAAAAGTCTGGATTAAGCAAGACTATTGGTAGTGAAGATCAAAGCGAACAGACCTGCTGTATGATCAAATTTGAAACCCAGAAATAAAGAAAAAGCAAAGCTTTAAGAAAAAATTAAAAAGCTTTGAAAAAATCATACATTTCTCCAATTTTTTTATTTAATTTTTTGTGTAATTTTGAAATTGCAATTATTTTGTTAGTGGCGTAGCCTAAGAAAAGTGTTTAGTGTAACACATATAGTGTTAAGTGTAACACATAGTGTTAGTGTTATGAGTTCTAGTGCAAACACAAGTTAACACAACCATAGTTAGAATTCCTTCTTAAAATCCAAGGCAGATTAAAATACATATTTTGAGCTCAGAGCTGTACACATCTTTCAATAAAATTTAAAATTCTAAAACATATATCATTCAGAGATCATACATAATGTTAAAATCTATGTAACCAAGGCAACAGTTTTATCAAAATGGCAGCTGTGTTTTAAAACCTCCATGATAACCATATATAAAATAAGCAAATATCTCTAAAACTATCATCATTATTTCCATCTTCTAATATAATCTGTTACTATGGAGATGACCTTAACCTTGACCCTGTTCTGACCTTCAAAATGGAATGTGCTGATCTTCTATAGACTATGATTGGTTATAAATTTAAACTATTTTTAGCACAAACCAAATAAATATACTATAAATATTGGTATAATTCTTGAAATTCTCCTTTTTTTTAACATCGACTGAAATATGAAGATATTTAAATTGCTTCTGAAGTCAGCTAACCATGGACAATATTGTCATTATCAACGACATTTCTACCAGTCATTTTAGACTTTTAGCTAGACATAATGTGTCTAACAACAGCTCCTCATACATTTGTAATAGAATTTACCAAACAAGACAATTCCGTCAAACAAATAAAAGTTGTATAGTAGTGGACTCCTCCAAAGAGAAGTACCATCAGGTGTTCCGAAAAGAGAAAGCATAGTCTGCTTCGCAAGTGACACCCACCACTTGTAGTAATTCAGACCTGAATATCAAAAAACTTATTCAAAAGCAATATAAAATTCGACAATTTCATCGACAAGTTTTGGCTTTTAATACAAATAGATAGCATGATATAAAACATTAATATTCAACCTTAGAATGAAGACAAATAAAGTAGTTAAAATGGAGCTTTATATTGAACCATCATTTTCCCCAAATGAATTTGACAATTAAAATAAATCGTAAAAAAAAAATTAAAATTTCTTATTTACTGATTAGTTTATGGCATATACAAATAATTTCTATATACACTTCAAATATTATTTACAAAGTTCTTATTTTAAAAACTGGTTGGTGAAACACCATCAATATCTAGAAGGTGCTCATTACGTTCAACTCAAACAATTGCCTATCTTCACAATGGTCAAGGTATTACTAACTTCATCTTATACCTTGACAACAATAGCCAGTATTCTTGTATCACCTATTGTGAGAATGTTCCAGTAAGAGCTTTTCTTTCAACATTAAGATGTATCATTTTTAAAATGCTCTGCCATTTAAATAAAAACTTTGTAAAATTAAATTAAATTCCTTGATTAATCATAAAAAATTTAACCTTTCACAAATTTAACGACTTTTTTTTAGATTCTTTGAATGCCATTACATCAAACTAACAGTCTACCCTGAAAGTTTTGCTAGAACTGGGCAACACGAGAGAGGTGTTTAACAGTGTCCCTTATTACTGATAGTACCGGAGTCTTAAGCGATTATCAATATGCAAATTAGTTCCAAAAATTACAGAGGTAGAATTAACCATAAGGAATCTGCAGAGAGTTGTCGAAGGGCGTTACAATTTGAGAGCCTTTGAGGCTGTTTTTATTGTCAGTTCTCATTTTATATTTTAGAAAAGAAGTCAAATCTTGGGTTGAATAAATTCTCCAGTATGTGACATATATTTGCCAACATTTTTCCGTAAGATCATCATCAATTTTGAGGTCCGTTAAATTTGTGAAATTGTGTCAACTACTGATGGATTATTTACAACTAAAATTTTATACATAATTATTCTATTTACAAATATTAACAATTTATTGTTGTTTTTAAAATGTTCATGTCCAAGGCGTTGTGCCTGCCTCAAATTATTTCAAAAATTTTGATTCGAAAAGATTTTTCATATTATTTGACAGCAAAGATGAATTATTTCGTTAAATTTAATTCAAATTCAAATCATACATTCTAAATTTCAATTAAGCAATAAAATATTTTCAAAATTTACACTGGCCAATGAAATCATTTTTGTATTTTTAATCAGCCAATGAAATCTGTTAAAATTTCAAACTGACCAATGAGATACTTTGAAATGATTCAAATTTTTAATGATTTAATGCTGATGAATATATATGAAAAGTTGATGAAATAAAATTCTGTTTTATTTCAATACATTTGTATGTCATCTCTTGGAATATCATTTTCAAAATGGCAGTCGTTTTTTGGCCTTTTAATGGATTTCTGTGAGGTAATTCTGCACCATATTTCCCGCTCAAACTTTTGACAGATTTAAATTTTGGTGAAAATATTAAAAATACCAAGAGATGACATAAGTGTTTGTTAAAAGATATTTTTTCGGATGAACGATTTTTTTTCTCTCGAAAAGAACATTTGTGACCCTTCATAAAAAAAATCAAACTCGGAAAAAAAATCCTTAATATCTAACATGACCCTATAATTTCATTCTCTAACTCCTCATGCGTAAAATTCTTTATCCTTTTCTGCTCGGTGATACGAGTAATTAGGCATTTTTCGTGGCTCGTCCAAGGCATAGCTCCCCTCGTCCTTTTTCCTCATACGATACACTATAAACATTATTAATAAAATGGCACATAATAGCGTTACTACAGCTCCACCTATGATAGCTGAAACGAAAAAAAGAAAATAACGTTACAGCTAATGAAAATTATTGGGTTCATGAAAACAGACAAGGAAATGGAAAGTGGTCTATTCCACCACCACAGCAAAAAAGGCAAGAAAATATTTGTCAAAACATCGGCAAATCTTGAAAAATTTCAGTCAAGTCTGAGCCAGAGTGATACAAGGTGTTCTAGATGGAAGGCTATCATAGTAACTTACCTGCTAGAAGGCCTGGTTGGGTCATTATATGTGTTACTGGACCAACCAAATTATTTTCTTCTGAAATATAGAAATAGGTAACACATTAAACAGAATAATGATGTCACAAGTCAAAATAATGATGTCACAAGTCAAAATAATGATGTCACAAGTCAGGATAATGATGTCACAAGTCAAAATAATGATGTCACAAGTTATGATAATGATGTCACAAGACAGGATAATGATGTCACAAGACAGGATAATGATGTCACAAGTCAAAATAATGATGTAACAAGTCAGGATAATGATGTCACAAGTCAAAATAATGATGTCACAAGTTATGATAATGATGTCACAAGACAGGATAATGATGTCACAAGACAGGATAATGATGTCACAAGTCAAAATAATGATGTAACAAGTCAGGATAATGATGTCACAAGTCAAAATAATGATGTCACAAGTTATGATAATGATGTCACAAGACAGGATAATGATGTCACAAGACAAAATAATGATGTCACAAGGTATGATAATGATGTCACAAGGAATGACTAAGCTGATATCTCAAGATGACATAGTAACCAATCAACCGGAAGTAGACAAATATCTCCCACAAGCTAACAACGATTTTAATTGGTTGTCTAGACCACTGAGAGTCATCCTGAATCATCTTCAACTCAAACATGAGCTTAAAAATAAGACAATTACCCGATGGAAGTGTTAAGCCCTCGGCACCATCCATTCTAGTTTGAATAATCTTATACATGTATCACATTTTTAACACAGCTTTAGAGAACAATTCTAAATGATATACCAATAGAAGTCTATACTATTCTGATTTTTGAAATCCAGAGATCTTAATTACAATCAGTACTGTTACCATCCAACTGCTCAAACCAAGAAGAGTACACTTTTTTCAATTCCAACTTTCATATTTTACCCTTCTTTTTGATAGTTTACACAAATTTATTTCCCATCTTAAACTGTATAGCAGTTAAAATACACAGTTTTATTCCATACTCTTACAAACACTGTCAGTCTGTTAAGATAATTTCCACTTGCTAGTAAGTTTCAGATTTTCACTATCTGTTAAATCATGGCTAAACCACAGTGATGACAATATCTTATAATGATTCTAGTTAAAATACGAACATCATTTCACCATTCTAAATCAAACACCATCCAGAAATCAGTTCACTTCAATATCTGTTAAATCTGTAAAATCATGGCTAACCCACAGTGATGACAATATCTAGTTAAAATAAGAACATGATTTAACCACTGATAAAAACCTGACACAATCTAGAAATAAGTTTTCATGTAGAATATCACTTCCAAATCTTACTTACTTACTTACAGCATAGTTTAACCACAGTCAAGACAATCTTATAAAGATTACTTCCAACACCAAAAAAACAAGCCAGAAAGTAGAAAATCATTGTCTATAAGATAACAACATGACTAAACCACAGTGAAGATATTGTATAAAGATTCTAGTTAAAATAAGAGTGTATTTTCAACATTGACTCAACCTTGGCTAGAGATGTTACAATATATCAGTATTATTGATTGCTTCTATCTCAACTCTCTAGTCTTGACACAGTTTCATCAACACATATTAACTCTAATCTAACAGTTTACACCACCATAGAGGACCCTTACAGTTTACACCATGATAGAGGACCCTTACAGTTTACACCATGATAGAGGACACTTACAGTTTACACCATGATAGAGGACCCTTACAGTTTACACCATGATAGAGGACCCTTACAGTTTACACCATGATAGAGGACCCTTACAGTTTACACCATGATAGAGGACCCTTACAGTTTACACCATGATAGAGGACACTTACAGTTTACACCATGATAGAGGACACTTACAGTTTACACCATGATAGAGGACCCTTACAGTTTACACCATGATAGAGGACCCTTACAGTTTACACCATGATAGAGGACCCTTACAGTTTACACCATGATAGAGGACCCTTACAGTTTACACCATGATAGAGGACCCTTACAGTTTACACCATGATAGAGGACCCTTACAGTTTACACCATGATAGAGGACCCTTACAGTTTACACCATGATAGAGGACACTTACAGTTTACACCATGATAGAGGACCCTTACAGTTTACACCATGATAGAGGACCCTGCTCAAAACTTACAATTTACAAAACGTTAAGAGACTGTTCATTAGGTGATAAAAACTAACAAGAAGCCATCAAATGCAAAACATATGGAATACAATTATATGGAATAATATGTAAAATATTTTAAAGTAGTAAGGGGTTCTTGTCGAAGGTCATTAACAGCATCCAATCAGAGTAAAGCAACAATAGGCAAGTCTAAAGAGTGAAATGGTTAAGAGACTAAATAATCAAGACTTTAGAATGATTGCTCAGTAGCGAAAAAAAACTCTCTTACAATTGATAATACTATGTGTTTATTGGACAAATGTTTTTGAGACTAAATAATCAAGACTTTAGAATGATTACCCAGTAGCGAATGAAGTCTATGTCATTAAATTTAACTAAATTTAACTTAAATGAAACCTCTATCAAGAAATTGTATTATTTTGTTATATTGGACAAATGTTTCTGAGACTAAATAATCAAGACTTTAGAATGATTACTCAGAAGCGATTGGTACGTCCATCAATAATGATGTTGTCATAAATAAATTGGGATAGTTTTCTTATAGCCTTTTAGCTCAATGAAGGATATCTATTGATATTGATGGCCATTACTACACTTGGCCAATATCTCTCTTTATTCTATAGCACATCAGGTTTATAGCTTTTATACTTTATATCCTGAATATTGCAGACATCAAATTTTGTAAGAGTTCTTATCTGATGGCAACCAATGTAAATTGTCTTGTACTTTTTTATTAAAGAAGTGAGTTATACCATCATATATTCTCTTGTGTGATTTATTTTTGTCTAGTACTGTAGCCTACATTTTCTAGATAATTTCAAAATTAAAATATTTCCCAATGAATATAATTAACCTCTGAACTCTTGAGTGTAAATAAAATAAATATATACCCTAAACTTCTAAGTAATATAACTTAAAGCCCACAATAACAGACCATTTTGATTTAAACCTTTGAATACTGAGTGTAAATATACCCTTGACTTCAACTACAAGAACTTTAAAAGTATATGATGTTAATATTCTGTGACGTCATGGTAACGGCTGCTTCACCAGCCCTTTCGATATAAATCACATAATTACGTGGCTGGTAGCAGTCACTAGTGATGAAGGGGTTAAGAGGTAATCATTTGATCATTAGAAATGAAATGAATGGAGTTTTTTGTCCTACTTTTCTGCACCATGTAGATTTGATCATTAGAAAATTACTTTAATTGTCATCGCTTTGTGACAAGGAAACTAACGTTACTAGGTAGCCATTTTGAATTTGATAGCAACATTAACTACTATTGTAATTGAACACCGTCATTAATTGTCTTCTCATGTTTCTGGCAATAGATTAATCAAGACTATTCATTGTAATTAGTCTCAATTGTCCAGTGGTTGTCAATTGTTTGACTTACGAGTATTGTCAGGAGTTAATTGGTAGTAGTAAACTGGCCACAAATTTTGTCTTTCGTTCCGTATTTTGTAAAATTAAACCATTTTTTTCTTGTTATATTAAATCTGGGGCATACACACCCTTGAAATTTTGTGCTTTGTAAAGGAACACAAGATAATGTGTGTTCATTTGATGAACACATGGTGTTCATGTGTTATTCATGGTGTTCTTGTGTTATTCATGGTGTTCATGTGTTATTCATGGTGTTCATGTGAAGGCCTTACCACATTGGAGTCATTATCTTCAGCAACATCACCATTACAGTTATGTACATGTGCAAAAAAGAATTTCCCATCCTGTTTTTGACTTGTAATAATTTTCTAAGGTCTATGATCTTAGGATTTTTGAAGAGCTGTGTTTACTAGATATATATGGCAAGGACAAAAGCCAGACATATCTAGTTGGAAGTCAGTTGACATAAAGAGTAAACACGAGCTAGTTAATATTCACATCATGTTTACTCTACAGACTAGTCTTAATACATCATCACAGCTTAAAGTAGCAATACCACTTAATATATATAACACAGCAACTTAAAGTAGCAATACCAGTTAACATATATATCAACATCTTAAAGTAGTAGTATCACTGAACAACTTAAAGTAGTAATACCATTTATATATAGTATATCACAGAAACCTAAATCTTAGACTAACACAACACAAGTAGAAATATCAGCAAACATATAAGTCAAAGCCACTACTAAATAAAAGGGCTATATCAAGGAAATTCCCCAGTCAAGGACAATAACTCTAGAAGACAAGCTTACCTGTGTCTGGTTCATCTGAATCTGTTAGATCTATTCCACCATTATCTTCTGGTAAAGGTTTAATATTGGTATTATCATTAGGTGATTCTGTATACTGTAAATAGAATAGATATTATTATAGAGGGGTGGTCTAGGGTGGGAAGAGGTGTTGGGGGTAGGAGGTTGGTAGGTTTGGGGGAGGGGAGCTGTAGGGTTGAAAATTGTATTGACTTGCACCAGCACTAAAATGGGCTATTAAGCACCAACGCTGTACGGTTGAGGGGGACAGAGTAGAGTAAGATTAGAGCCAAGGTTAAATATTGGTATTAACCAATAACTATTTGTAGAATTTAGGGGATAGGGGGTGATTATGAGTACTGTATATATAACAGTATTTGAGTTAACTGTGGACTTGGGGATATAACAGCAATGAGTTCTACCCAACTGGTATATTATCAGGTATATTAAGTTAAGACTGACCTCTGTTTCTGGTTCAGGTTTAGATGTCTTGCCCTGATTATTGGTTTTTATTTTTTTAGTTGTAATAATCTCCTCTATAACCACTCTAGGTGTTGTAGCTATCGCTGTAGTCTTCAGATTTTTAATAGGCATTAATGTTGTTTCAGTTACTGGAAAAATAAAATGAGCATCACCTTGAGTATTTGAAATTAGCTAGAGTTTTACATTCTACTCTTTTGCTCCTGACTGGACTTTTGAAATAGAGTTTTATATCCTACTGTTCTGCACATCATTGGACTATTTAATGGACCTACTTGAATAGAGATATAATACTTTAATGAAAACAAACAAGTCCCAACTAACAAGGAATCTGTTTGACAAATTAATATCTTTCTTACAATGAAATATGGCTGATAATTGATAAAAAAGAGAAACATACTTTGACAATTTGGTTTGTCGTGGATGAAGACTTCAGTGCCCTCTATTTTTTTACCATAAGGTGTAGCACAATAGCACATAGATCCTTCACACTGAACAGGTTGAAAATATCCCTCCACTGTACACTTTGGTCGTTTACCACCCAATAATCTGGTACGTGAGAATTTGACGATTTCAAACACACAAGGTCTTAAGTTAGAACCTGAAATAAAAAAGGCGTTGTTTTTCTTAATTCTTGGTTGGTAGGTAGATGACAAGTTAATGTTTGCTTCTAGCGGATGCTGACATCGCAAACTAATTCTGATTAAGTTTACATTATATACAGCGCAAGACCTGTCTGTTTGTCTGTCTGTCTCGACATCTTAAAATCTAAAGTCAAATTAAAATCAGGCTTAATTTCAACTCAATATAAGTTATTGTGAAGTTTATCATCCCCTCAAATACATTAATATAATACTTAAAGTTCAACTTAACTGTGGTCTGTTTTAATGCATAAGTTATCTTAATAAATAGAGTTACTTCCCTTACATAATAATAAACATATACATGGAATATTATGATAGATTGACAGAAACGAATGGTGAGTTGACATATTACCACTTACCTAATTCACAATCTGGTACATTAGGTTGTTCCATATTGGTAGACGGGATCATCCTGCCATCTAAATCTGAACACCAACAGTCGCCAGTGCCTGGATAACCTCGACATTGCATGGTATCGTAGTCACCCTCCACGGTACATCGTGGTACGTAGTTTCCTATTAAATCTTTACTGGCTCGTCTTAACTGTTCACAAGGTGTTAATGGCTTGCTGGTGGTGGTAGGAACTGTTGGTTCTACAATGGAGGATACAGTCACTAGCTATAAAATCTTTGATGTTACATACTTTCAAAGTACCCAATTGTCCATCGTACCCCTACAAACTATGACATCCCCAATGACTCGTGACGTATACTGACTATTACCCGCTTACTCTATCCCATGTACCATGGCACCCCTCAATACTTCTTACAAACAGAAGTTACAACCTACCTGTAACGACAGGTACCCCCATTCCACTACCAGATCCTGATCCTCCAACATCCTCATCATCTGGAGATCCATCATCATCATCTTCATCATTACCAGACCCGCTCCCACCCACAGCTGGTTCATCAGCCTGGAGTAGAAAATGAAAATGAAATGATTGGAGCTTTACGTCCTACGTTCATTGAGCTAATGTTGTTTGTAGAACATAAAATAAACAAGCCATCAAAAACTTCATAAACAAACAAGAAAGGGAGAAAAATAGAGAAAACATTTTAATAAATTGTCACGAACCAAGCATTAGATTTCAAACTGGCATAGCTAAGTATTTCCAAGTATAAAACATATCAAATAGATTAAGCACCCGTCCATAAAAATCAGGGAACCAGTCAAAACAGTCTTCCTGCTACTGAGGCTGAGATTCTAGAAATTTAGGGCAAAACTATGCTATTTTCCACAGCCCATTTGTGTAGTTATAATCAACTTAGACCCAACTGTGTGACACGTATGTACTCATGTTTAATATTATATATAATGTACAGTTATTAAATATATTCATATTGGATAATACATACTTAGTAATTATATATATACTAATATATCATACACAATGGAGTAATTAACAACGTCATTTACTTAAAGTGATAGTGAAAAGGTTTTCTAAACCTTTTATGTGTCTGGGACACTGATAGCATCAGTATGCACCATTCCAATTTTCAGTCAGACGTCTGTGGTTCTTGCAAATTTCACTAAAACTAAGCATTTTATGAATTCTCTATCAAAACACAGCTAATATATATGTGGCTTGGAGACTCTGACACTAAGCGCCTTTGTATAGGGACATTAATAGCATCGTTTTGCACCCTTTAAATTTTCAGTCAGATGTCTGTGGTTCTTGCTATTTTATTTAAACTAGGCATATTATGACCTCACTATCTCAAAGTCCCGTAGATATTATAAGCAGAGTTTGATAGTAAATTCATAAAGTGCTTAGTTATAGTGGAATTTGTCATGGCTATAGTTATAAAGTTGGAGAATCTATCAGACTAAGAACTGCCATCAAGGGGACAGTATTTGTTGTAGTTTGTGTAGAATGATGATTCAACTCTTTGCGAATGACATCATCTTACAATCTTCACTGACAGCTGTCAAATTGTCATTCCACAACTCTTCTTTATTGGAGATTACATGAGTGCTACTATAGCCAACGTAGCGGTAGTCTAGTGCTCCACATGGCCTAATCAAATTTATTCATAATAATATGCACTTAATTTGTATTTATGTATTCTGTTTTATTCCTTGTATTATATGAGGAACTGTTTTACAATATTCCACACTAGTTATAACTGTTCTACATAGCCTAATCAAATTCATTCTTTTATTCATATGCACTTATTCGTATTTATGTATTCTGTTTTATTCATTGTACCATATGGGAAATCATTCATTCATTCATTTGTTTATTTATTCAATAAATCATGAACACAAAGTTCTGTAGACATGCTATAATTAATTAATCTTTCTAATTACACACTGCATGACATGTTTCAAAATACAATCATTAATTCATCTACTTTCTAATTCATTCACTCATTCATTCTTTCACTTATACATCCATTTATTTACTCATTCATTCATTCATTCATCTAATTGTTCATTCATTCACTCATTTATTCTTTCACTTATACATCCATTCATTTATTCTCTAATTCATTCATTCACTTATCCGTCTATTTTTTTTACTCATTCATTCATTCATTCATCTAATTGTTCATTCATTCATTCATTTATTCTTTTACTTATTCATTCATTCATTTATTCATTCAATCATTCATTCATCTAATCCATTCATTTTTTCATTTATTAATCCATTCATTCATTCTTTAATTCATCCATTCACTCCTTTATTTATTCATTCATTCACTTATTCATTCATCATTTCCTCATGTCAATGAGTAAGAGAGATAAGAGGTTACTGTAGCTAGATAAAATGAGTAACTGACAAGTGGCAACCTGGAGTCAATAGTGACATTAATTTCATTATCAGTCAATTTACTACCAATGAAGGTAATTCTATTTCATGACTTCACTAAGGCTGTTGATGTGACGGATTGTGATTAATCTAAGCTTAAATAGGTATATAATAGTGAGAAGCAGGGTTTGGTATTGGTACTATTTTAGGGTTACCTGATTTGGGTTATGAAGCCAGGCAGTGCAAAATGATTCAATGAGAAATTTTGCACAATCCAAGCCTACTATCAGTCTGGTTTTTCAACTGTACAGGAATCTTTAACGTGCACTGCCTGTAGCAAACATGGCTTCTGTTTTGGAGGAACAGTGGACCTCAGGGCAAGTTGGAAATACTGGGGGAAATGATGGAAAGGTTCTTCCTCCTCCAGTGAGTATATTGATGATTTTACTACAGACTAAAGACAACTCTACGAAGTTGATTAGAGACATACATTCCAACTCAGAGATCTTTTACAATTGGTTGAAATTGATACAGAAATAATGTCCCAAGTCAGAAGAAATTGTGAGCTCAAGTGAAAAGAAAAGTTGTGAACTTCCAATCTAATTCAATAGCAGCCATTTTTTCTGAGAATTGAAATTATTACAATTTCTATTCCCTTGGTAACAGAAAGAAAATTACCTAGCACCAAATGACCTCCAAGGTGGAACCCTGGCTTCAAAAGAGTTAATAACATTTCCTGCTACTCTCATGTTTTTAACAGTTTGATTCAATTCGGTTGTCATGACGATATGAAAGCGAAAGTAGAATATAAAAGCGGGGAAATAAAAGAGTGTAGTTTTACTAACAATAACACTGTTACAGTTCTATTGGAAATCTATACTTTAACTAAATTGTTTTTAAAGGGAGCAGTCAAGCACTTAAAAGCTAATTTATTCAGCTGGAAAGCTGGAACTTAAAAGACGGAAATGGGACACGAAGTAACCAATGGCCTTTCTAGGTAACATTCGGTGAGGGGGGCACCAAATGTTTCAAGGATGCCATAGGCAATACTTTTACTATGTAAAATGATAACAAATTTGAGAGTGCTGCCAAAGCAGAGCCCTCTGTAGAAAGGCAACTGGAAGTAACACGCTTTATCAGCTTGGGTTTTCAGTCTTGCATCACCTAACTCTGGGTTATATTCTAGAGGTGACTAATGGTTGAAGCAGAAACACCTGACATCACTTAACTCTTGGTTATATCAGTAACAATGACTGATGTTACAACCAGAAAACAAAACATTAATTTCAGAATTGTAATATTATGAATTGATTTTTTTCCATGTCATTTGAATAGCAAGATACATATGTGACAACAATGTTTACATATTAATACACATTGTAACACATTGTTGACATGGTGACACATGGTTGACATTGTAACACATGGTAACATCAGGTGAGACATTCTGACCTTCAAAAACCCAGTTACCTAATGGTGTCAGGAAGCCAGACCAATTCTAATGGAATCATACTAAAGACCACCAACACATGGCTATTGGAAATCCATATTGGAAACAAGCTGGGTTGATTAGACAAAGTGGCAGCAGGTGTTCCCAGGGGCTCTCAATTCATATTATTGACAATCAATATAGGTCTGACTTCACATAAGGCAGATAACTCTGGCTCTACACAGTACCTCAGATATGATGGATGATATATTGTTACAGGGTAGGGCCAGACAACATATTAGTTTTTCATGAGGTTCATCCCAGGCATAGTAAGGGCCAAACATATTGGTTTTTCATGGGATTCAACCCTACCATGGTAAAGGCCTAGAGTTGTCAGTTGTTGAGGGGTCTTAAGGTTAATATTGGGTGATGTTAAAAATGTCCAAGAGTTTTTGTAGCATGCAAAAATACAATAACAAGACTAGAGTGAGTAAATGTGCAATAAATATAACTTCCATTAATACATGCTTACAGATCACTTTTAGTCTCTTTCTAAAAATAATATTTTTCCAAACGACAAGTGTTTCCGAGAGCCAGCCCGGTGTCAGCTTTCAACCACTATCACCTACTAACTTAACGAACTGGTTACTAATGCATCCAGAAAAATGATCATGTAGTCGTGCTCCTGAATGAACAGTAAGATCATCAGCAACACTTCAGTTTTAATCGTTCACAATGCTCAATTCATATCCTCCATTTAGAAGGGACTCCAAGCAATTCTGTTTTTACTGGCAAAATTAGTTGTAGATTTATACTCATATTGGCAGAACAGAGCTCCCTTTTAAATAATCAATATTCCATTATAGTGTTGACAAAATTGTTGTTAGTCAATGTGACATTAATTCTATATTAGCATGCATATTCTTAAAGCTATCATGAAGTTTCAAAAATGAAAAGGAAAAATCTCGAAGGCTTGATGGTTTTTTAGATATGAATGTCCAATGAGTGCAAACTCTTAAAATTTGAGTACATTAAAAGATGCATTCAATGGATCAAACTGAAACCAAAATTCCATTTTTTCAAATTCATGATAGCTTTAAGTTTTGAAATGAATAAAAATAAAATTTGATTGACTTACCATGGGCATGCTGTAAAGATCTATATCAATGAGATTGTCAGCATTATGATACGATGGTAATGACTGAAAAAACATTAAAAATAGCAGGCAATGAAATGACCAGAAAATACAAACATCAACATGCATTACATGTGCATCAGATCTTAAAATTAGGTCATGGTTATTCAAATTAAAGCCCTTGTTGGTGCATCAATATTTTCGACAAAATTAAAGGGATTGTGACTAATGCAAGATTCCTCAGACATCATTTACAGCTTTTGTGAAAACTCAGCAAGCATGCCCTCACTGGATAGCGACACCCAAATTTCTGGATCACATTTTCCATCAGGTTTTTATCTAAACAGATGATTTTTTGTCATTTAGTCACTCATTCGTGCACATAATGTCTCATTTTTCATCAGGAAGGGGTAGTAGGGAAGATTTGTGGCACTTAAAACTTTATGTGTAATTCCAAACTGGTATGTGTTCTGTGTAATTTGAAATGATATGTGTGATGTGTAATTTGAAAATGGTATATGTAATGTGTAAATGGTATGTGTTATGTGTAATGGTATGTGTTATGTGTAAAACTCTGGTGTAATTACACAGCACATGTAGTCAATCTCTCAGTATTCTGTATGTAATTTGTCTCAGTATTCTATATGTAATTTGTCTCAGTATTCTATATGTAATTTGTCTCAGTATTCTATATGTAATTTGTCTCAGTATTCTATATGTAATTTGTCTCAGTATTCTGTATGTAATAAATATTTTAATAAGAGGAAACATATAAACTTTTAATCTGATTAAATTTCACACAAACCTTAATTCTAGAATTTTAAGTAGATAAGAATGCTTGTCAAGAAAACTTGATGGAAATTAATTTCACTGATAGCATGTTTGCCAATTCCTCCTCCTACACAACATCTATCACTGCTTTTAATTAGCGTTAAAGAGCCACTTTCAATAACATAAATGTGATAAAGAATTTTGTTGAAAAAAATATGAACAATTCTTAAAGGTACACTTACACCTCAGTGATGACAAGTTGTGTATTGTAGTGAATAATGATAACAGTCATTTCAAACACAACTGTCATGTAACTGAGTTATGGGTTGTGACCACTTTCATAATGCAACTTGAAATTCCTTTATTTTTCTCTAAGGTAATTCAACAAGCTTACCCATGAGGCTATTCTACTTTACCCTAGTTCTACTACTTTCAACTCCCCGTTATCCCCAGCAGGGAATTCAGAAGCGTGCATTCAAATCAATTCATATCAACACATCAATGCCACTTTAAATTCCAAGATTTTCCCCAGAGGGAATTTAACATGAAGCTTACAGTAGAAGACCATCAATATCCATGATTATATTAGAAGATAGACTGGGAGAGATTGTCAAGACTTATTTTCTAGTCTGATCACAAACTACATACCATTCCTCATTAGACTGCAATATGTTTATCACCTTGCCTTCAGCATCATCACAATGTCACACTATTACAAACTTTGTCTAATACCTTGACTGCAATAGCCATCGTTGTCATATCACAGAATGCAGCGATATGATTGGATTGTACGCTGGTAAATACATCAAGTTATTTACCCCGATTAAACTCGCAGCTTAATTGTTTAAGTCTTTCTGTCAAGGGCTGTATTTCCTACTGTCACAAACTTCCCTGATTGCCATAGCCACATTTAACTTGATTTGATTTGATATGATTGGATAATATTCTTGCAGATACAGTCAATCAGAATCCCCAAAAAAACGTGCAGCCAAATCATTTACAGTCTTTCTGTGGAGAGCTCTGATTGGCTGCATACTGTACTATACAATCCAATCAAATCGCTGCATTTACAAACTTCTGTGACACAAGAAAGGTGGCTATTGCTATCACGGAAGGATGTTCCACATTTAAAACATTCAACTCAATTTCTTTTAGATTTGTGACTATTTTTCTCAAAAGACAAACCAATTATTGAGTAAGACTTGACACATTAGTTTCCCAGGAGTCTAAGTCCAGGACAAAATCATCTAATAAAGTATTAAGACACGGTTAAAACGTCTTATAAATAATTCAATTTGGTAGTCGGGAAAAATTAAATCAGGGTTTAAAGGAACAGTCTATTGATTTGAATAGAAATAACTTTCCTTTGATCTTTCAGTTGGTACTAAAATAACAACGGAATTGAGTAATTTGTTAACTGTATCAAAACAAAAAATGTTCCATAGACCACAAAAACTGTCAAGAATATAACAAGTTGGACAAATACAATCGAAGCTATCAGACTATAACTTTAACACAAGTATAAGCAATCTACAGTAGCGTAAATAAATATATTCATTGTTAAATTTGATCAAAAAACACCACAAAATCTACCAGTTATCAGGTAAAATAGAACTCTAATCAGATAATACAACCAACTTGACATTCATTGTTAAATTTTCACTCAAGAAAATATTTTGGTACCACAAATAATACCAGGAATATTACTAGTCAAACAAATACAACTTCCCTAACAGACTGTAAACTCAAGTAATATTACTAGCAATCTAGGTAATTAGCCAGTCATTACTAGATTTTGATAAAGTAATTAGTTAGTTAAGTACTGTACTTACTAGCTACCCTACTGTGAGCTCTTTTAGATACCAATATACAGAAAAAACATAGTCTGTTCTTGGCTTTTTAACATCCATTCCTACTATTTTAGTTGTAAGGTTTAGTAAGGTTTAGTAAGGTTTAGTAAGGTTTAGCATAAAATGATGTGTAAAGAAATTAATGAGTTTACATGCTATAGAATCCTGATTCCCAACCTGGCTATCAAATTAGTTAAAGGTATCATATTAGTTAGAGCTATCAAATTAGTTAAAGCCACCAAATGAGTCAGAGCTATCAAATGAGTTAGAGCTATCAAATAAGAGCTATCATATTAGTTAGAGCTATCAAATAAGCCAAAGCTATCATATTAGTTAGAGCTATCAAATAAGCCAAAGCTATCAAATAAGAGCTATCGAATTAGTCAGAGCTATCATATTAGTTAGAGCTATCAAATAAGCCAAAGCTATCATATTAGTTAGAGCTATCAAATAAGTCAAAGCTATCAAATAAGAGCTATCGAATTAGTCAGAGCTATCATATTAGTTAGAGCTATCAAATAAGCCAAAGCTATCATATTAGTTAGAGCTATCAAATAAGTCAAAGCTATCAAATAAGAGCTATCGAATAAGCCAAAGCTATCATATTAGTTAGAGCTATCAAATAAGCCAAAGCTATCATATTAGTTAGAGCTATCAAATAAGCCAAAGCTATCAAATAAGAGCTATCGAATAAGCCAAAGCTATCATATTAGTTAGAGCTATCAAATAAGAGCTATCATATTAGTTAGAGCTATCAAATAAGTCAAAGCTATCAAATAAGAGCTATCGAATAAGCCAAAGCTATCATATTAGTTAGAGCTATCAAATAAGCCAAAGCTATCATATTAGTTAGAGCTATCAAATAAGTCAAAGCTATCAAATAAGAGCTATCGAATTAGTCAGAGCTATCAAATGAATCAGAGCTATCAAATAAGCCAGAGCTATCAAATGAACCAGAGGTACCGTCAGAGCTTTTCTTTGCTTCAATATTGAGACAGGTAAGTATCAGTGCCTATGATTTGTGTTTGAAACTACCATATAGTGTAGATCTGTAGATGAATTTTCTACTATCTTTAAATACATAGATGAGTTTAAATACTTGTATTAAAGTGAAGGTAAGATCGATGGGCCATCAAATAAGATATAATCAGGAGAAAATTACTGTTTATTTCACACGAATAAATAATGATATGTTTTAAACTCAGCTCAACTTAATTACAATCTGAACCTAATGGTAATGTCTGTCACGAGATTTATAACCTCTGACTTGATTGAAGTAGTAAAAAACACTAAGTATTAACGATCCAAACAGCCAAACGAAAACCTGGAATCTAAAGTAACATTTTGGCGAAACATTGATAGCAGCTAATGAACTATTCATATGAGAAATTATATCATTAATAAGTTTGTATTTCAGAATGAAAAGTGGTATCAGGTGTCTAGAAGAGTAAACATACTCTGTCTGGTGTCACATCCGCTCATATATCAATTATAAGTGAGTAAGTATTTCATAATAAGAAGTGGTATCAGGTGTCTAGAAGAGTAAGCATACCCTGTCTGTTACAACCCCTCACATGAGAAATTATATCAATTATAAGTGAGTAAGTATTTCATCATGAAAAGTGATATCAGATGTCTAGAAGAGTAAGTATACCATGGAACATATGGGAATGCTGAATTCTCACCAGTTGCGTATGGTTGCAAAATCATTTAGTTGCAAGTAGCGTTCGTAACTCATGACCATTAATTATTCACAACCATATACAACTGCTAATCACTTTGGTGTGAGGTTACCTTTAATGATCTTTTTTTGTAGAAAATCTGTGTAAAAACTATGGAGAATTAAAAAGATAAGCTGTGATTTAAATTTAAAATTCAGCTAGACTGATATAAGTGAATTTAAGTGTTTTAATCTGAATTGAACTAGCCTGGGATGATATATCTATCTCTTGGATTGATTCCAAAACGTCTGGTACCTTTCTATACTTTCATTCTTCTTTTCACTGGTTATTTTTTTTCATTGGTAATCAATCTAACTTCAGGATATAAATTGCGTTGAAAAGTTATGTGAATTTTTTATGAAAGAAATGTGTTTTATTCTGTAATATATTTCTTTGTGTTTGTGATATGTACTCTTCAAATCTTTTTCAAATTTGGAATCTGCAGCGCATTGAATCACATGATATCTTTAATGTGTTTGCAATACGTCTTAAGACAGTCATTAAGAATTGCAATGTTTAAGATTCACATATAGAATTAGAGTGCAGGCTGAAATAGGTCAGCTGTCTGAAGATCACACATCATGAAAACTATACGTAACAACATGTTTCAGGTTCTGTTTTAATGTTTGTAGAATTAGGCACAGGGGTAAGGAAGCACAAGATATTTTGATATACTATTTCTAATATTTATTAATTCAATGTTTCACATGTTCATACAGATAGTGTTATCAAAAGATTAGCCCATTGGACATATAAACTTTGTGAAGTAAAATCTCTTTGGAACATCTGTCTTTGAAGAAGTTCCTGGCAATGATTAAAGAGAGGAATAGTTTGGAATTCCAGGAACATGCCTTCTGGAAGAAAGAGTTAGTCTAGATGATTAAAAGTTGACTGTTAGTAATTGAAAAGTCCGTTTCTATAATTTGGAACACGTTTAGAATTTAGAATGAATTTCTTGAAAAAATCACGAAATGAATGACTTTATGTGAAATATTGAAAATTATTGGAAACTGTTTGAATTAGACTGTAAACTAACATGTAGAGTTATTTTGAATAGTGTTAATGAATAGATTACTATAGAAGTTAAATTCAAATATGATTTCTTATTAATTTAAAAGTGAAGATTCAAAATTTTATAAATCTATTAGACCAAAGCAAGTAAGGAACACAGATTCAAATATCCTGATATTATTTCCTGGAGGCCGGCATTACTTAAATTGGAACTCTTCATTGATAAAACCACATACAGTACCCACTCCTTTCTCGACTGCACTCTATAGCTTTGTTCAACACAGATAATATCGAAATATTTACCATACCAATTTAATTAACAATCTTGTTGAAATACCTTGGCTATAACATACCACTTTATTCTTAAACAACAGCTCCCCGGGGAGTACCTACCACTACAGAACATGGCTCTTTACTTTCTATGGGCTTAGTTTGTTTTCCAGGCAATGGAAAATCAATGTTATAAGATTCAATAACATAGATACTGTCCATTAAAGCCTTGTTTACTCTTCCCATGGGGTCATCTGAAATACTTAGGATTACCACACTTAAAGATCAACTTGGGGTGGGGTGATATGATCAATCTGCATACAACAACTAGGGGGTCTGACTAACCATTGGGAATCTGATCTTGTGCTTAGGGTTGTGATCTTGGGGGTTTGATGTTGGGGGTCTGATCTTGGGAGTTTGATCGAGCTATTTGGGTTAGGGTTATGGAAACCAATTCTAAATTTTACCCTTGTCTCTTTTCCAACACATCATTATCTGTCTAGACAAGACCTAAGAAAAATTTACAGTAAATCATCACTGACCCAGTCTGTTAATGAGCAATCAATGAGCAGATAATTTACATAAGTTTCTAATTACCTCCCTTGAGACTCAGACCACAACTTACCATCCGCCAACATATATAGGAATAACCTAGCCCTTCTCTCTATCCAAGTTATTACCTGAAGAACTAAATCATTGCCAGCCTAGTGTAATCAGGATTCTATCCAAAGACAATTCATGACGACTTATGATTACCTCCCTTGGGACCCAGACCACAACTATTATATCTATCACCGTTAATCAAGACTGAAATAAGATGTCGAAGTCTTGTGATGATGTTAAAACATCTTCAAATCCCATTTCATTGAACTGCTTTTTCTTCACATAATCTCGTTACTTTGTCTGAAACCATTAAGAATTTCTACCGTGTTTTATTGCAGCTGGCAAATCTCATTTTTGCTTCTACTTCTACGCCTGAATATTAGAATATAGCCCTATTCCAAAGCTTACTGTACTGATGAGGGTTGTGTATCTGGAACATGCCACAAACATGCAGCATACAAAGTTCAAACACCCTTTTTGATTTCGCAATGGATGAAATATTATCAAAAAAACTTAACAGGAAATTAAATTTCGCAACAAATTAACAAATTTCATTTTCGGAAAAAAAAACAGACAAAACATTCTCTCTTAAATTTTATCTAAATTTTTCAAGAGAGATTTTGAAATATGAACTGTAGGATTCAAAACAACCAATTTTTTGTATTAATTGAAATCCAAGCCTGTAATCTTCTATACAACGCAGGGTTTGTGTATTTTTAAAAGTGTTGCTAGGCAACTGAGTCATAAAATAGCAGTGTTGTTCCCAAGCTTGACATCATTAGACGGAGTTTCTCAATGAAAAAAACTGATATTTAAGAGAAAAATACGACTGAGGGAAGTCAGCGATTTACCAATCTCCCTTTTCAAAGTTTTATTTACACTTCATTAGATGATCATTAAACAGTAATTTATTAACAGTCTTCACCACCATATGAATAACTTCTTGGAATCTGAATAGTTCACAGCATGATCAAAATAACATATTACATGTTTTAATGCTCTTGGCTTCTGATTCATTCTACAAGAATAATAAAATTCACTTCTGTATCTTGCTGGTCTAATAAAAAGAAACCTTTATGACAGTGCTACTGTTCTCAAAGCCTGCCTTCTAAAATACAGTCTTACTGTATTGTATCTTATTGGACTAATGAAATGAAATAGAGTTTTATATCTTACTGTTCTGTATCTTATTGGACTAATGAAATGAAATAGAGTTTTATGGCCTACAGTTCTGTATCTTATTGAACTAATGAAATGAAATAGAGTTTTATATCTTACTGTTCTGTATCTTTTTGGACTAATGAAATCAAATATAGTTTTATATCTTACTGTTCTGTATCTTATTAGACTAATGAAATGAAATAGAGTTTTATATCCTACTGTTCTGTATCTTATTGGACTAATGAAATGAAATGGAGTTTTATATCTTACTGTATTGTATCTTATTAGACTAATGAAATGAAATAGAGTTTTATATCTTACTGTATTGTATCTTATTAGACTAATGAAATGAAATAGAGTTTTATATCTTACTGTTCTGTATCTTTTTGGACTAATGAAATCAAATATAGTTTTATATCTTACTGTTCTGTATCTTATTAGACTAATGAAATGAAATAGAGTTTTACATCTTACTGTTCTGTATCTTATTAGACTAATGAAATGAAATGTAGTTTTATATTCTACTGTTCTGTATCTTATTGGACTAATGAAATGAAATAGAGTTTTATATCCTACTGTTCTGTATCTTATTGGACTAATGAAATGAAATGGAGTTTTATACCCTACTGTTCTGTATCTTATTGAACTAATGAAATGAAATAGAGTTTTATAACCTACTGTTCTGTATCTTATTGAACTAATGAAATGAAATAAAATTTTTATTGGACTAATGAAATGGAGTTTAAATAACACAATACGCACTTTCAAACTGTAACTGATACTTCTCATTGACGTAATACAAGAACAAATATTACAAGAGGATGTTAACTCACAATTCTTGTTTATTTTCTCATCTTTACTATATTTTTATAAAAAAACTAGGTCATGTAAAACATCCTGCTTTTGACCTAATTAAAATATCTAACACTGTGATAAGAGATAACTATCATAATGAGGTCAAGATTATAATCTATGTCCTCTTTCTTTATTTGATATTGTTTTATCTCAATCTGCTTCAGTAAAGATGCGAAAATTTCAGTTCTTATTATAAAGGAGATTTTAAGACAGACTTTCATTCATTCATTCTTTGAAAGTGTAATTAGAAAACAGAAGTTCATTCATTCATTCTTTGAAAGTGTAATTAGAAAACAGAAGTTCATTCATTCATTCTTTGAAAGTGTAATTAGAAAACAGAAGTTCATTCATTCATTCTTTGAAAGTGTAATTAGAAAACAGAAGTTCATTCATTCATTCTTTGAAAGTGTAATTAGAAAACAGAAGTTCATACATTCATTCTTTGAAAGTGTAATTAGAAAACAGAAGTTCATACATTCATTCTTTGAAAGTGTAATTAGAAATATGTGGTAAATAGATTGCAGGCTATAATGGAGTTCTAATCTACAGATCTAAAGACAACATTGTCTGTAGGAATGACTGTTTTATTCTTCCCTTATTTCATTTAATCAATCACTCACTCCTACTGGTATTAAATATTAAAGCCAAGCTTGACTGGTATTCTTCTATAGTAATTATCAAATTTATTCATTCATTTTGTCATTCTGTCACTCTTTATATCACAGAAAACAGTCTGATGATACTCCCCTTCTAACAATTATCAAATTTATTTATTCATCCATTCATTTGGTCACTCTGTCACTCCTAATATCTTTATTAGATTAAGAACCCAGTCTGATGATACTCCCCTTCTAACAAGTCATTCATTCCTTCATGCTCATTCTAACTCTCTAGTAAATTGAAAGCGTGCTCTGATAGAATTAAGGTGTATTAAATCTAGAAGCTAGTGTGAACTGTGAGTGGGTATATAGTTGTAATATTAGTATAAATCTAGAAGGTGTTTATTACATTTTCTCAGTGGGAAGCTTATCTTCTAATACAGGTTCCACAGATCTCAGTCTTTATATACATCAGTTACTAATAACCCTGTTTACATTACAAAAATCATCCATTCTGAGAACAGTTCACAAAACGGAACGAATGAAACATTAAATGGTCAAGCGTTCAGAGAACCGTTCCAATTTGAGACTACCACAGAGAAGTTTCTGTGAGCAGACGAATTTGCTTTCATCGGGGTTACTAGAACGTGTAAAATTGACTCTTCCGTGAAGAGTTCAATTAAAATGTGTCTGAGAACAATAAATCATTTACGCTATTGATATAGAACTGTTCTCACAATGCTTGAATTTGTAGTAGTGTAAAATGTAAAAAATTGGGTAATTTTATCGCATCCAGGCGCAACTACTCGTAGCGTTCTAATGTAAACCGGGATAATGACTTCTTTTTCAAAATAAATAGTATCTAGAGTTGAGAAGAGTCCCCTGACAATCTGCTGTCCTACAAGTTTATTTAGATTGTAATATCAACTACAATATTCACTTGTAAATTGTATCTTTGACTTTCCTCGTGTTTTGAAGGTGACAAAAATACTATTTTAGTTTGATCATAAAAATCATAATCTTGACAAAAAATATATTGACAGATTTAAAATTATAGCTGACATATTGTCAAGTTTACAGCTTTTTGAAGTTTTCAGGCCGGTAGTGTACATTTTTAATCAAATAACAATCTTATAACACCATGTTATACAGAAAAAACTAAACAATTAGTCATATTTACTATTCAATTTCATTTTATTAGTCTGATAATGTGTATAACAGTAGAATATAAAACACCATTTCATTTCACTATTTCATTTCATTAGTTCCAGTAAGATACAAAACAGTAGGATATAAAACTCTATTTCATTTCATTAGTTCCAGTAAGATACAAAACAGTAGGATATGAAACTCTATTTCATTTCATTAGTTCAATAAGATACAAAACAGTAGGATATAAAACTCTATTTCATTTCATTAGTTCCAGTAAGATACAAAACAGTAGGATATGAAACTCTATTTCATTTCATTAGTCTAATAAGATACAGAACAGTAGGATATAAAACTCTATTTCATTTCATTAGTTCAATAAGATACAGAACAGTAGGATATAAAACTCTATTTCATTTCATTAGTTCCAGTAAGATACAAAACAGTAGGATATAAAACTCTATTTCATTTCATTAGTCCAATAAGATACAGAACAGTAGGATATAAAACTCCATTTCATTTCATTAGTCTAATAAGATACAGAACAGTAGGATATAAAACTCTATTTCATTTCATTAGTCCAGTAAGATACAAAACAGTAGGATATAAAACTCTATTTCATTTCATTAGTTCCAGTAAGATACAAAACAGTAGGATATAAAACTCTATTTCATTTCATTAGTTCCAGTAAGATACAATACAGTAAGATATAAAACTCCATTTCATTTCATTAGTTCCAGTAAGATACAAAACAGTAGGATATAAAACTCTATTTCATTTCATTAGTTCCAGTAAGATACAAAACAGTAGGATATGAAACTCTATTTCATTTCATTAGTTCCAGTACCATAAGACACGGAACAGTAGAATATAAAACTC